TATTGGAATTCTATTTCCTTGTAAAACTGGCAAAAAACATGCCTTTCACTTCGAACTTAAAGCTTAGCGGCAATTCGAGCTTAGCGTAACTTAAAGCTTAGCTTCAATGAACTTAGCCTAACTTAAAGCTTAGCGTCAATTCAAAAGATGGTTCTCAGTTGTTAATTTTTTTTTCCCAGAGAGGTTAAATCCATCAAAAGTTGAAATTTCCAATTAAAAAACTGCCGAGAATTTTAATTGCGAACCGTTGAAGAGGTAAAAAAGAAGATAAAATAAGCCTTTATAAATCTTTTATTCCTCACAGCGAACACGAACTAGAAGAACAAATAAGCGCTGTTAAATAATTGTTTCCTTACAGCGAACATGAACTAGAAGAACAAAGTAAGCGCTGATAAATAACTGTTCCCTCACAGCGAACACGAGCAGTAAAGAGTTGAGACATAGAGCTGCACTCTACGTGTTGATGTCCGCGTCAGGTTGGGCTTTAGATTAGACGGGAACAGTCGGAAACTTCCTGACGGTCCGAGGCACCACCAGACGATGAGATCTGCTGACCAGGTGTTGGGCTGACCTGTCTGGAACCAGCAAGGTCTCATAGACGCTGCGTCAGTAGATATGACGCGAGACTCACGTGTGGGAGTCAGTGTTGCTGTAGAGAGGTCCTCATCCCTGGGCACCTTGCTCATACACAATATGTGACATGTTGACCATTCCCTAGCACATATAAAAATGTGACATGTTGACCATTCCCTAGCACATATAAAAATGTGACATGTTGACCATTCCCTAGCACATAAAAATGTGACATGTTGACCATTCCCTAGCACATAAAAATGTGACATGTTGACCATTCCCTAGCACATAAAAATGTGACATGTTGACCATTCCCTAGCACATAAAAATGTGACATGTTGACCATTCCACTAGCACACATAAAAATGTGACATGTTGACCATTCCACTAGCACATATAAAAATGTGACATGTCGACCATTCCACTAGCACATATAAAAATGTGACATGTTGACCATTCCACTAGCACATATAAAAATGTGACATGTCGACCATTCCACTAGCACATATAAAAATGTGACATGTTGACCATTCCACTAGCACATATAAAAATGTGACATGTCGACCATTCCACTAGCACATATAAAAATGTGACATGTTGACCATTCCACTAGCACATATAAAAATGTGACATGTTGACCATTCCACTAGCACATATAAAAATGTGACATGTTGACCATTCCACTAGCACATATAAAAATGTGACATGTTGACCATTCCACTAGCACATATAAAAATTTGACATGTTGACCATTCCACTAGCACATATAAAAATGTGACATGTTGACCATTCCACTAGCACATATAAAAATGTGACATGTTGACCATTCCACTAGCACATATAAAAATGTGACATGTTGACCATTCCACTAGCACATATAAAACTGTGACATGTTGACCATTCCACTAGCACATATAAAAATGTGACATGTTGACCATTCCACTAGCACATATAAAAATGTGACATGTTGACCATTCCACTAGCACATATAAAAATGTGACATGTTGACCATTCCACTAGCACATATAAAAATGTGACATGTTGACCATTCCACTAGCACATATAAAAATGTGACATGTTGACCATTCCACTAGCACATATAAAAATGTGACATGTTGACCATTCCACTAGCACATATAAAAATGTGACATGTTGACCATTCCACTAGCACATATAAAAATGTGACATGTTGACCATTCCACTAGCACATATAAAAATTTGACATGTTGACCATTCCACTAGCACATATAAAAATGTGACATGTTGACCATTCCACTAGCACATATAAAAATGTGACATGTTGACCATTCCACTAGCACATATAAAAATGTGTCATGTTGACCATTCCACTAGCACATATAAAAATGTGACATGTTGACCATTCCACTAGCACATATAAAAATGTGACATGTTGACCATTCCACTAGCACATATAAAAATGTGACATGTTGACCATTCCACTAGCACATATAAAAATGTGACATGTTGACCATTCCACTAGCACATATAAAAATGTGACATGTTGACCATTCCACTAGCACATATAAAAATGTGACATGTTGACCATTCCACTAGCACATATAAAAATGTGACATGTTGACCATTCCACTAGCACATATAAAAATGTGACATGTTGACCATTCCACTAGCACATATAAAAATGTGACATGTTGACCATTCCACTAGCACATATAAAAATGTGACATGTTGACCATTCCACTAGCACATATAAAAATGTGACATGTTGACCATTCCACTAGCACATATAAAAATTTGACATGTTGACCATTCCACTAGCACATATAAAAATGTGACATGTTGACCATTCCACTAGCACATATAAAAATGTGACATGTTGACCATTCCCTAGCACATATAAAAATGTGACATGTTGACCATTCCACTAGCACATATAAAAATTTGACATGTTGACCATTCCACTAGCACATATAAAAATGTGACATGTTGACCATTCCACTAGCACATATAAAAGTGTGACATGTTGACCATTCCACTAGCACATATAAAAATGTGACATGTTGACCATTCCACTAGCACATATAAAAATGTGACATGTTGACCATTCCACTAGCACATATAAAAATGTGACATGTTGACCATTCCACTAGCACATATAAAAATGTGACATGTTGACCATTCCACTAGCACATATAAAAATGTGACATGTTGACCATTCCACTAGCACATATAAAAATGTGACATGTTGACCATTCCACTAGCACATATAAAAATTTGACATGTTGACCATTCCACTAGCACATATAAAAATGTGACATGTTGACCATTCCACTAGCACATATAAAAATGTGACATGTTGACCATTCCACTAGCACATATAAAAATGTGACATGTTGACCATTCCACTAGCACATATAAAAATGTGACATGTTGACCATTCCACTAGCACATATAAAAATGTGACATGTTGACCATTCCACTAGCACATATAAAAATGTGACATGTTGACCATTCCACTAGCACATATAAAAATTTGACATGTTGACCATTCCCTAGCACATATAAAAATTTGACATGTTGACCATTCCACTAGCACATATAAAAATGTGACATGTTGACCATTCCACTAGCACATATAAAAATGTGACATGTTGACCATTCCACTAGCACATATAAAAATGTGACATGTTGACCATTCCACTAGCACATATAAAAATGTGACATGTTGACCATTCCACTAGCACATATAAAAATGTGACATGTTGACCATTCCCTAGCACATATAAAAATTTGACATGTTGACCATTCCACTAGCACATATAAAAATGTGACATGTTGACCATTCCACTAGCACATATAAAAATGTGACATGTTGACCATTCCACTAGCACATATAAAAATGTGACATGTTGACCATTCCACTAGCACATATAAAAATGTGACATGTTGACCATTCCACTAGCACATATAAAAATGTGACATGTTGACCATTCCACTAGCACATATAAAAATTTGACATGTTGACCATTCCACTAGCACATATAAAAATGTGACATGTTGACCATTCCACTAGCACATATAAAAATGTGACATGTTGACCATTCCACTAGCACATATAAAAATGTGACATGTTGACCATTCCACTAGCACATATAAAAATGTGACATGTTGACCATTCCACTAGCACATATAAAAATGTGACATGTTGACCATTCCACTAGCACATATAAAAATGTGACATGTTGACCATTCCACTAGCACATATAAAAATGTGACATGTTGACCATTCCCTAGCACATATAAAAATTTGACATGTTGACCATTCCACTAGCACATATAAAAATGTGACATGTTGACCATTCCACTAGCACATATAAAAATGTGACATGTTGACCATTCCACTAGCACATATAAAAATGTGACATGTTGACCATTCCACTAGCACATATAAAAATGTGACATGTTGACCATTCCACTAGCACATATAAAAATGTGACATGTTGACCATTCCCTAGCACATATAAAAATTTGACATGTTGACCATTCCACTAGCACATATAAAAATGTGACATGTTGACCATTCCACTAGCACATATAAAAATGTGACATGTTGACCATTCCACTAGCACATATAAAAATGTGACATGTTGACCATTCCCTAGCACATATAAAAATTTGACATGTTGACCATTCCCTAGCACATATAAAAATGTGACATGTTGACCATTCCACTAGCACATATAAAAATGTGACATGTTGACCATTCCCTAGCACATATAAAAATGTGAAATTGTGACCCTTCCCTACCAACTTACCACTTCAAACGATGCAAAACTAATCCCATTTTTTTAAAAATATAAAATTTGACATGTTGACCATTCCCTAGCACATATAAAAATGTGACATGTTGACCATTCCACTAGCACATATAAAAATGTGACATGTTGACCATTCCCTAGCACATATAAAAATGTGAAATTGTGACCCTTCCCTACCAACTTACCACTTCAAACGATGCAAAACTAATCCCATTTTTTTAAAAATATAAACCCCTCCACCCCCATCCCTAACACTTACTGTTGTTTTTTTTTTGTAACTACAGAAACGTTATTTTTTAAGTGCATTAATTGAACATAGGCTATCTATTTATCTATCTATCTATTACCTGGCCTTCAAACTACCACCTGTGTACATATTATATATTTCATAACAAAACACACAATGTACGATGACGGCACACGGACAAACATAAGAGATAGAAAACGCAGAAGTAGTGTTCCAATATTTTATCTTTTACTGCGTGTTTTTATAGATGTATTGGCGAAAGAATAATGTTTGTTTTTTATAACCACATCTAGACCTATGTTTAATTAATTTTCAGCAACTATACTAGTACTAGTAAAAAAAAAAAATACGCGTTTAAATGTACTAATGGATCCCCGTATCTCCCTATGCCTGTAGACTGGACTGCGTGTTTTAGCGTGGAAATATCTAGCCGTTTGTTCACGTTGGTGTGGGCAAAGTTAGTGGCCAGATCAAAATATTGTTCATGTCTCCGCGCAGCTAAGCAGCTTTTCAGAGGCGCCTGGTATCGCCGTAGAAGTAGCGGGTTCCAAAGACGTTGTGCCACTCGCCGAACGCTCGGTCGTGCCGGATACCATCGTTAGCCCATCGCGCTGGGGATAGAACATCAGGCTATTAGCCCCATTACTCGATAGAGCATCAGGCTATTAGCCTCATTACTCGATAGAGCATCAGGCTATTAGCCCCATTACTCCATATATATATATATATATATATATATATATATATATATATATATATATATATATATATATATATATATATATATAATTCTCTTGCATAACTTGAATAAATTCTCTTACATAACTTGAAAAAAAATCTCTTACATAGCTTGAAAAAAATTTCTTACATAGCTTGAAAAAAATCTCTTACATAGCTTGAATTTTTTTCTCTTACATAGCTTGAAAAAAATTTCGTACATAACTTGAAAAAAATCTCTTACATAGCTTGAATTTTTTCCTCTTACATAGCTTGAAAAAAAATTCTTACATAGCTTGAAAAAAATCTCTTACATAGCTTGAATTTTTTTCTCTTACATAGCTTGAAAAAAATCTCTTACATAGCTTGAATTTTTTTCTCTTACATTGCTTGAAAAAAATTTCTTACATAACTTGAAAAAAAATCTCTTACATAGCTCGTCCTTGGTACGGCGGGTGTCCAGCCAGTAGGATGGGCCTGAGCTGTAGTTGGACGGCATCTGAAGGTAGTTGGGGGAGAAGTAGGGGTGCTCAAACATGTCGGTGTCTTCACGTCTTTTACAGTGGCTGGAACAGGGAGGTGGCACCATGATGATATGGGGGTGGGGGTAGGGGGGTGGGGGGGAGAAGTAGGGGTGGGGGGAGAAGTAGGGGTGCTCAAACATGTCGGTGTCTTCACGTCTTTTACAGTGGCTGGAACAGGGAGGTGGTACCATGATGATACGGGGGTGGGGGGAGTAGGGGTGGGGGGAGAAGTAGGGGTGCTCAAACATGTCGGTGTCTTCACGTCTTTTACAGTGGCTGGAACAGGGAGGTGGTACCATGATATGGGGGTGGGGGGGAGAAGTAGGGGTGGGGGAAGTAGGGGTGGGGGGAGTAGGGGTGAGGGGAGAAGTAGGGGTGGGGAGAGAAGTAGGGGTGGGGGAAGTAGGGGTGGGGAGAGAAGTAGGGGTGGAGGGGGAGAAGTAGGGGTGGGGGGAGAAGTAGGGGTGGGGAGAGAAGTAGGGGTGGGGGAAGTAGGGGTGGGGGAAGTAGGGGTGGGGGAGAAGTAGGGGTGGGGGGAGAAGTATGGGTGGGGGGAGAAGTAGGGGTGGGGGGAGAAGTAGGGGTGGAGGAGAAGTAGGGGTGGGGAGAGAAGTAGGTGTGGGGGAGAAGTAGGTGTGGGGGAGAAGTAGGGGGGGGAGAAGTAGGGGTTGGGAGAGAAGTAGGGGTGGGGGAAGTAGGGGTGGGGAGAGAAGTAGGGGTGGGGGGAGAAGTAGGGGTGGGGAGAGAAGTAGGGGTGGGGGAAGTAGGGGTGGGGGAGAAGTAGGGGGGGAGAAGTAGGGGTGGGGGAGAAGTAGGGGGGGAGAAGTAGGGGTGGGGGAGTAGGGGTGAGGGGAGAAGTAGGGATGGGGGGAGAAGTAGGGGTGGGGGTGGGGGAGAAGTAGGGGTGGGGGAGAAGTAGGGGTGCTCGAACATGTCGGTGTCTTCACGTCCCTTACAGTGGCTGGAACAGGGAGGTGGTACCATGATGATATTGGGGGGGGGGGAGAAGTAGGGGTGCTCGTGTTGGAAGTTTGCACCGTGTTGATATGGGGGCGGGGGTGTAAAGGGTAGGGAGCTGTCACATTGTTGATATGGGGTGTGTAGGGGGTAGGAAGTTGGCACCGTGTTGATATGGGGAGTGGTGATTTAGGGGTTGGTAAAGCCGATCTTAATTTTATTTTATTATTAAGCCCCTTTGTTCTATTGAACTAAAAATATTTAATTAACTATTGTTTGTTTTTAATAATGACAACAACACTAATTATGAGTGGAGTGTGAAAATGTATTGCTAAATACCCGAAATGTAGATTCTCTTGAGAGTTCTGTTTAATAACTTTCGGGTAATTTTCTCCAACGAGAATCCCTCTTTGATAGTGATGTATAGGATTAAAGAAGAGAGGCTCGAATTTTAGTCTAGGTGGTATATATTGAGTCATTCTCCTTGTATAGACCAAGTTGTATGTGTGTAAATCTAAAAACAAAACTAGCGTGCTGTGTCTAGTGTGTTGTATCTAGATTATTGTATCTAATTTGTGTGTTGTGTCTAGTGTGTTGTGTTGTATCTCTTGTTTCTAGTGTGCTAAGTCTAGTGTGTTGTTTCTAGTGTACTAAGTCTAGTGTGGTGTTTCTAGTGTGTTAAGTCTAGTGTGTTGTGTCTCCTGTTTCTAGTGTACTACGCCTAGTGCCCTGTATCTAGTGCCCTGCGTCTAGTGCCCTATGTCTACTGCCTTGTGTCTAGAATGCTCTAGGTCTAGTGCCCTGTGTCTAATGCCCTGTGTCTAGTGCCCTATGTCTAATGCCCTGTATCTAGTGCCCTGTATCTAGTGCCCTTATGTCTAGTGCCTTATGTCTAGAATGTTCTAGGTCTAGTCCCCTGTGTCTAGTGCCCTGTGTCTAGTGCCCTGTGTCTCGTGCCCTGTCTAGAATGCCCTATGTCTAAGTGAGCAGAAGTCCAGAGACCCTGAGATGATGGTGACAGGAAACCGTGAGCTCTGCTGGACTTGGATGATGTTGGGCTCTAGATATGACGTCACTGGCCGAATCCTCGTCACCTCGAAAGGTGCATCAGGTCTGTGAGATGGACGACAACAATGTTACCAGAGGTCAAGGTGCTCTTTTACAGCTCGTCTAGGTATCTGTTACAGCTGGTCTATGTATCTGTTACAGCTGGTCTATGTATCTGTTACAGCTCGTCTATGTATCTGTTACAGCTGGTCTATGTATCTGTTACAGCTGGTCTATGTATCTGTTACAGCTGGTCTATGTATCTGTTACAGCTGGTCTATGTATCTGTTACAGCTGGTCTATGTATCTGTTACAGCTCGTCTAGGTATCTGTTACAGCTCGTCTATGTATCTGTTACAGCTGGTCTATGTATCTGTTACAGCTGGTCTATGTATCTGTTACAGCTGGTCTATGTATCTGTTACAGCTCGTCTAGGTATCTGTTACAGCTGGTCTATGTATCTGTATCTGTCCCTAGTGGTCATGTCTATCTGACGACCCCTAGGTCACAAAGAAATGATTACACCATCCCATAATACGCCGAGTTCAGAGAAACTAATGACCTCTACTTCATCTGAGCCAAGGACCTTCGAGTCTGAAAGAGAACTTTACTCAGGAAGGTTTCTGTACACTCGACCTTGGCTCTATACATCTCTTTAAGATGTGGTGTATTCAATTTTGTTAGTATTAGCGATACTAAGTAGTTTCGGTTGCCTATATTTCATCATTTTATTGATGTCTAGTCTCTTCCTAACTGTAACCATAACAGCTGTACTGTAAACAGAGGCGTAGCGAGGGGGGGAGGGGCGGGGGGGGGGTTCGGATCGCACCGGGTGACACCATTTAGGGGGGTGACACCAAGGCAAAAAATAGTAAAATATATAGAGAAAAATTTGAGGGGGGTGCAAATCGATATCGATAGTTTGAGGGGGGGGGGGTGCAAATGGAAAATTGAAAGTTTGACCAATAAGTGCCGCACCGGGTGGGTGACACTCGACCTCGCTGACTGTAAACAAGATTCAACACGCTACGTTATTATATTTCCGTTGTTTGTTTTTGTTTTTTAAGAATACACCAAACATTTTTTTACACTTTACCAAGGCTTAATGACAATAGAAAGTATAGCCTACATAAAGGACAACAGAAAGTATAGCAAACATACATGAAAACAGAAAGTATAGCCTAAATTCCTAAATAAATGACTGCAGAAAGAAGTAATGACGTACACTCTAGTAAAATGGCTGCAGGTTGAACTAGAATCTAATTCTAAGTCTTATCCGCCGTACCTAACTGACTGCAGGAGAATGTCTGATGGTAGCGGATCGTCTGTGTAGTACTCAGGAAAATATCTTTTGCCAGCTATGGACATTTTTTTAGATGGTTCTGATGGACAAATTCTTCAAAAAACTTACGAAACTACCAAAGTGTCACTAGTGGTAGTTATTTATGCCATTTTGAATCGCCCAGTGATGGTTGACATCATTTCCTCCTACGGGAGTTTCAAAACTAGAAGTAGATTAAACGGAGTAAAGTTCACGAATATGTTTATCCGATGGTGTGTATATAAATTATTATAAATGTTACTCTGAATGGTTGAGAGAATCTGTATTATACTGTTTACACGCTAAATTGTTAAACTTGTAGTCCAAAAACATGAGAATAAATTCAATGAATCGTGAGCTTAACCAACAATTAATGCGATTCGTTTCAAGATTTTTATCGAAATCTATTTTTACAATAAGTGTTTGTTAAAGATTTCTAAAAAAGTTCCCTGTTCGAACATAACGGTCCATGGGGCAAGGGAAGTAGAGTTCACCTGTTTCTGTGACTCGACATATGTAGGGAGATTGCGGTCAACACTATACCCAGCCGCCTTTACTTTCCCTTACGTGAGTTCGGTACCCATTAGAGCTGAGTGGACTCAGGAACGTTCTACTGACTTGACCCCGTATTCGAACTTGAGACTTTTGGGTTAGCAGCCTGGTGCTCTACCGCTAGGCCACGGCGCATCATAAAGGTTTCTACGACTAATTTTTCTTCTTCGCTAGTAATGTGTCCGCAACAACCCCTACATCGCAGACAGTTGTGTATTCGACTCAACAAGCACCCCTCACATGTATTCAACTCAACATGCACCCGACTCAACAAGCACCCCTCACATGTATTCAACTCAACATGCACCCGACTCAACAAGCACCCCTCACATGTATTCAACTCAACATGCACCCGACTCAACAAGCACCCCTCACATGTATTCGACTCAACAAGCACACCTCACATGTATTCGACTCAACAAGCACCCCTCACATGTATTCGACTCAACAAGCACCCCTCACATGTATTCGACAAGCACCCCTCACATGTATTCGACTCAACAAGCACCCCTCACATGTATTCGACTCACCAAACACCCCTCACATGTATTCGACTCACCAAACACCCCTCACATGTATTCGACTCAACAAGCACCCCTCACATGTATTCCACTCAACAAGCACACCTCACATGTATTCCACTCAACAAGCACACCTCACATGTATTCCACTCAACAAGCACCCCTCACATGTATTCGACTCAACAAGCACCCGTCTCAACAAGCACACCTCACATGTATTCACTCAACAAGCACCCCTCACATGTATTCGACTCAACAAGCACCCGTATCAACAAGCACACCTCACATGTATTCACTCAACAAGCACCCCTCACATGTATTCGACTCAACAAGCACCCGTCTCAACAAGCACACCTCACATGTATTCACTCAACAAGCACCCCTCACATGTATTCGACTCAACAAGCACCCGTCTCAACAAGCACACCTCACATGTATTCGACTCAACAAGCACCCCCCACATGTATTCGACTCAACAAGCAACCTCCACATGTATTCGACTCAACAAGCACCCCTCACATGTATTCGACTCAACAAGCACCCCTCACATGTATTCGACTCAACAAGCACCCCTCACATGTATTCGACTCACCAAGCACCCCTCACATGTATTCGACTCAACAAGCACCCCTCACATGTATTCGACTCAACAAGCACCCCTCACATGTATTCGACTCAACAAGCACCCCTCAAATGTATTTGACTCAACAAGCACCCCTCACATGTATTTGACTCAACAAGCACCCCTCACATGTATTCGACTCAACATGCACCCCTCACATGTATTCGACTAGCACCCCTGACATGTATTCGACTCAACAAGCACCCCTGACATGTATTCGACTCACCAAACACCCCTCACATGTATTCGACTCACCAAACACCCCTCACATGTATTCACTCAACAAGCACCCCTCACATGTATTCGACTCACCAAACACCCCTCACATTTTGTCATTGGTACCCGCGTCTCATAAAACTAAATGAAAACAAAGCATGTAAAAGTGTAGGAGACATAGGTCTGGCAGACTTTGATTTAAACACTCGGGGGCTCACAACATGCTTGTATATCTAGAGCCAACTGGGTCATAGTGCTTAAAGCTCCCGACTCCCCCCCCCCCTTCCCCACCCCGACCCCCGAACTCTTTATGTGACGTGGACAGGTGGAGGCGAGTTGATCTGCAAAAGACTAACCCCTCCTTATATGGGCCTGATTCATATACAAATAGATCAAAACTGTTTTTATTTCCCCCCCCCCCCCGGCCCCCTTTCCATTTTCATTGCCACCAATAGCTGCCACACACACACACACACACACACACACACACACACACACAAGTACAAGGGTGGTGACACCGGTATATTCTGGGCCAGTTAGCTGGACATTGTTTTCGTCGACTGGAGGGGTCATGGACCCGGGGTGGGGCCTGACCAAAGAGTCACCCCTCGTCCGGTAGTGGACAGAATAGAAGAGGAAAATCTCGCCGATTGAAGTCGCTGTTTTAGTTTTGGTGTGACTGTTCATTTGAAATACCGAAATTGCAAAATATTTTCTTTTTAACATTTCAGAAAGAAATATACCACCAGGTATTTCTGTTCTGTTGATTTTAACGTTTCAAATTGTTTTGTTTATCTGTGGTGTTTATAAATTTAATAATTTCTACCAAGTCTAGCAACACGGGAAATTTCCGCTGCACCACAATGAACCGGATCTAAATAAGGCAACATGGTTTTCCTGTTCGTGCGCTCCACATTTATCGGGGCTCCAAGCAGTGCAGACCGACCTTAACTCAAAGACGAGAATTCGTACGTTCTCCGTCAAGTCATATATAGGATAGTTTATTTAAAATTAATTACTACTTAAGTTAATTGCAAATGTATAAATTAAATAAAGAGCGAGTAGTAGCTTTGTTTTAAAGCAAATTATAAATGTCCTTTAAGCTTGCAAGACAAAACCTAGAGGCCTAGACAGGCTAGAGACTAGTAAACTACACCTATCTACATCTAAATTAATTTAACTAATTATAAATAGAAAACTATACTAGATCTATAAAATTATAAATAACAACTTCATATAGGATTGTTGTATTTACTTTTTTGTAAACACAAGAAACTTGATCAGTACTGTAACAGACGTTTGTTATCTAATGTTTTACACTAAACTAAACTTTGAATAAATAAACCGCATGTATGAGTGATGTCTGACTTGGTCATCCTAGCTAAATCTAGCCCTTACAGTTTTATGACAAAGTCCTACATCCAGTGTGTGTATGACAGGGTCAGTGTAAGTGTTAGGGTCAGGGCCTCCACTACCTATACGGCGAACTAGGCGGTCGCCTAGGGCGCTATCCATAGGGCGCCGGCACTGGTTAGGGCTAGGGCTAACCCTAAACCTTACAGTTTTATGACCAAGTCCTACATCCAGTGTGTGTATGATGGGATCAGTGTTAGGGTCAGTGTTAGGGCTAGGGCTAACCCTAAACCTTACAGTTTTATGACCAAGACCTACATCCAGTGTGTGTATGACAGGGCCAGTGTTAGGTACCCCGCACTGTTATAGTGTCCTTAGCTTTTTGTCATGTTTGTACTGTTTACCTTTATGGTGACAGGCAATGTATGTACCGATTTAGTTGCTAGTGTTTGGTCAAGGATTATGTCCATGATTAGTGTTAGATTAGGATATAATACCATAAAAAATAATACGTTTATAATATGCTTATTTGTGTATAGTTAGCACAATAGTATGTATAAAATACCTCTCACTAACATATAAACTTAAGAATGTAAGTTAAAGAATCGCTTTAAAAATACATTACTAGTATTTCAAACGTATTTCGTTGTTTTCCAAGAAGCTCAAGAATGTTTTAATTTTTTTTGTTATTTATTTATTTATTTTTTTTTTTTTTGCACAGCTTAGATCTGCAGGCTTAGTTTAAGAAAACAATAACATCGTTTTCAGTCGGAAGGAATAAGTGAAGACATAGTACCATCGTTGTCAGGAAATACAAGAAACAAGACATAGTGCCATCGTTGTCTAGGAAACCAGAAGATAAGAGACAGTACCATCGTTGTCAGAAAGAGATCAACCACTGCCTGGAACCACTGCCTGGAACCACTGCCTGGAACCACTGTCTGGAACCACTGCCTGGAACCACTGCCTGGAACCACTGCTGCCAGACGAGTGCACCTGAGCCATGGCCCACCGTCTTCCCCCCGCCGGGATTGAAACCCAGGACTCCGATGTCTTTCGGTTTAACGTCGTCCATCCCCCGCCCTGCAAGAACCCCAAGAAGGAGGCGGAGCCAGTCCGCTGTAACCTCAGGCCTAAGATAGTCTGCAAGACAAGGGACAAGTAAGTTGCTAGACCGTCTTTGGTTCAAACTTTCTGGTATCTACTCGAAATATAAGGAAAGTTTCTAGACCCTCTTGTAGACAAACTTTCTGTTTTTACACGCAGCTTTAGGAAAGCAGAGTTTCTTCCAGGCATCTCTTCGGGGGGGGGGGGGGGGCAAAGCCCCCCCCCCCCCCCCGAAAATTTTTTACCGCCCCCCCCCCCCCCCCCGAACGAAATGAAATTTATATAATTTATAGAGAAAATATATACTTTTAACAGTGTCCGCCCCCCCGAAGAAAGTCTACCGCCCCCCCGAAAATTTCAAGTGCCCCCCCCCCCCCCCCCGGAGAAAAAAGTCTGGAAGAAACACTGTAGGAAAGTGTTTAGACCCTCTTGTAGACAAACTTTCTGTTTTTACACACAGCTTTAGGAAAGTTTCTAGACCCTCTTGTAGACAAACTTTCTGTTTTTACACGCAGTTTTAGGAAAGTGTCTAGACCCTCTTGTAGACAAACGTTCTGGTTTTTACTCATAGTATAACGGACATTTTTAGACAAATCTTCTAGTTTTTACTTGTAGTATAACGAACTTAAGATGTTTTATACTTTGATAAATATGCTGGTATGTCACCAATGCTATATTTCCTCTAAGAGGATAGGGAATTCACATGGAACATTTGATCCGTTTTACTTTTAGTTCAGCTAGGACATTTGTTTCTCTTCACACAGTAGTGAAAAGTTCTAATAAATCTGATTAATCTGCTTGACTTTAAGGGAACTAAATGTTTCGCAATGGGGCACAACAGATGGGTGTAACGTGTCACGATATGTGAACAAAGTTTTTGTCACATTTTAGAGAATTTTTGTTGTTGCGGTGTGTCCTGATGTACTATGGCGAGTTGTGACGAGGAAAAAAGTTACCATTACGTGAAGTCATAAAACGACCTTTTACTCGGCAATCACTCGGCTCAAATATCACATGATTAGATTTTAAGTCTGCATTACCTTAATTGGTATGTACAAGCTCGTACAAACCCAAGAGAACCATGTTTCTCCTCACAGCTTGGATGAGAGAGGCCCTATGCAGAAAGTCGCCCACCTCCTGCCGCCTGCCGGCATGGACTCGGAAGACTCCGACTGCTTCCGTTTCTACCACGTCCACGCCCACTGCTACAAGCGTAAAGGTCGAGGTCACATTGAAGACCAAGAATGCGTGGCCGAAGTCCCAAAGTAAGCCATGTTTCTCTTATATCGTAATTTTGTACGTCCTAGTTTTAATCAAGTGCTTATTCTTGTTTGTTATTGTTTATTCTATAATTATTATTTTTATTTATGTTTACCCTTTGTAACTATATTTGTTATGTGTTAATAATGTGTTTAGTGCATGTTATCATGGGTTTATCTTGAGCGAATATTACTTTAAAAACGCTCATGTTTTGAAAACATAGTCAAGATTTGAGTTTTAAAAACAGAAAAAAAAAATCTGAGTGAAATAAACAAAATTCATATTTTTTTTAAATGTAGACGCACTATATTAAGAAAATCTTTTCTGGTATCATTTAGCTAAATGGTTGTCTTTGCTCTTTGTGTTATCCGTATTAACACGCGATTCTAAATTGCCACTGGAGTATGTGTGCGTGTATTTCTTTTTCCTTTCTAGCAAACGTCGAAGGCTTTGTGTGGATGGCAAGCGGCGTCCTTACGAGTTGATATGGTAGCAACAGTTAACTTGTAACGCCTGTCAACATTAACTTAACGCCTGTCAACAGTTAACTTAACGCCTGTCAACATTAACTTAACGCAAACGTGTAACTGTAATATGATGTTTTTTATACGGTATCCCAACTAACACTTAACTTTTAACGCCGGTCAACATTAACTTAACGCCTGTCAACATTAACTTAACGCCTGTCAACATTAACTTAACGCCTGTCAACATTTACTTAACGCCTGTCAACATTAACTTAACGCCTGTCAACATTAACTTAACGCCTGTCAACATTAACTTAACGCCTGTCAACATTAACTTAACGCAAACGTGTAACTGTACTGTTGTGTTTTTTTTTTATGGTATCCCAACTAACATTTAACTCTTAACGCCTGTAAACATTAACTAACGCAAATATATATAACTGTGTTGTGTTGTTTTGTTATATGGTATCCCAACTAACACTAATCTTTTAACTTACCTCAATCATGTGTAATTGTGCTGTGATGTTTCTTGAATGGTTCAAGGTTTCTTAAGTTTCTTTCCAACATTTCTTGATATAATCCCCTTCATGCCTTGTATTCCATTATCTGCTATATCTATCCGTGTAAGTATACTGTGACAACTCAAGTGTTGTCACAAAAGCTTAGATACATGAGTTAGTATTGGCGTGCTGTGTGTGTTTTCCAACAACCTCATGTTCTGCAGCAGATATGTCAACGATACTTCAAGTAAATCTGGACTGGTCGGAACCTCGCGGGGAAGTAGTGATGAAGCTACGGCTTTACATTCCAATATTTACTGATAGCATTGTTTTACTGCGCTATTAATAGATGAGATGGGGAAGGAGTTTGGGGTATTGGCAGTGTTTCTTCTAGATTTTTTCTCCGGAAGGGGGGGGGGGGGGGACTAAAATTTCGGGGGGGGGGGGGTACGGGACACAGATAAAAGTATATATTTTCTATAGAAATTCTATTTTGTTTGGGGGGGGGTCTGTTTACTCTGTTTACTCATTTGAATTAACGTTATTTATTAATTAGGTATGTGCTTAACTATTTTAATAGTTGAACGTTGTAAGCAAAGATTTATTGAACACCTAGGTTTCTGCCTTTTTAGTGTTTGGCACCTTTAAATTATGCCCTTATTTTGGCCGATATGTATCTGTTCTCAGGTGATTACTTCATTGCTTCAGGGTTTTAGAGATTGTTTGCTATTTTAAAATCCATGCCTGTTACTTACTTTACATTTATGAGGAGCCTTTAATATTTTAATCAACTTGATCAACCATACTTGATAGCATATGGCTAGATGACTTAGCTTAGATTTACCTGTTGTATGGATGCTGTGTATAGCATATGGCTAAATGATGTAGTTGTTGTATGGATGCTGCCGTCTCTTTGATGGTTGATGTTGTATGGATGCTGTCGTCTATTTGATAGTTGATGTAGTTGTTGTATGGATGCTGCCGCCTATTTAATGGTTGATGTAGATGTTGTATGGATGCTGCCGTTTATTTGATGGTTGGTGAAGTTGTTGTATGGATGCTGTCGTTTATTTGATGGTTGATGTAGTTGTTGTATGGATGCTGTCGTTTATTTGATGGTTGATGTAGTTGTTGTATGGATGCTGTCGTACATTTGATGGTTGATGTAGATGTTGTATGTATGCTGTCGTCTATTTGATGGTTGATGTAGATGTTGTATGTATGCTGTCGTCTATTGATGGTTGATGTTGTATGGATGATGTCGTCTATTTGAGGTTGATGTAGTTGTTGTATGGATGCTGCCGTCTATTTGATGGTTGATGTAGTTGTTGTATGGATGCTGTCGTCTATTTGATGGTTGATGTAGTTGTTGTATGGATGCTGCCGTCTATTTGATGGTTGATGTAGTTGTTGTATGGATGCTGTCGTCTATTTGATGGTTGATGTAGTTGTTGTATGGATGCTGCCGTCTATTTGATGGTTGATGTAGTTGTTGTATGGATGCTTTCGTCTATTGATGGGTTTCTATTTTCTGTATCTCAAGCACCATGGCACAACCACCTCTGACCCAGCCTGGTCTGTTGTGTAACAGCAAGCCAAACAAGTGAGTCAAGGTCTTGGTCGTACTACACAAGTCATTGAATGACTTCACTGACTGACCTCACTGACTGACCTCACTGACTGACCTGACTGACTGACCTCATTAACTGACCTGACTGACTGACCTATTGACTTACCTCACTGACTGACCTTATTAACGTACCTCACTGACTGACCTGACTGACTGACCTCATTAACTGACCTGACTGACTGACCTATTGACTGACCTCACTGACTGACCTCATTAACTGAACCCACTGACTGACCTCACTGACTAAAAATAACTTATAATTTCGTGACAGGCCCATGACCTACATGTGTCACCGAATCGCTCGTCAACCGATGCCAACCAATCAAGGAGCTTACAACTCTGGCTGTGTTCGGGAGGGTCAAGAATTTTGGAATTTATAGAGCGCTTTGTGCTGGTTGAAATTGTAATGTTGTCCTAGGTAACGGTTCAACTTTTACTAATGGTGTCACCCCCAACCAAATGAAAAAAATAAAGGATAAATATATTTAGTAGCAATTCGTGTCTCCACCACCACCTCCCATTATGCCAAAGGGCGTGAATTTTTGTGAATATCTTTTTTTAATACACATATTAATTCAAGGGGGAAAAAAGCCAACGTTTTCATTGTAAATGATTAGATATGGTGTCACCTCCCCCCCCCCCCCCCCTCGGTCGTTGATTGGCGGATCAGTTATTGAAAATTTTGAACCTAACTTTTTTTGGTGTAAATTTTGCAGTTGGTGTCACCCCCTCCCATTCGTCAGGATCGTCAATTTGTAATTAAAGACGTTTAAACTCGATTTAATCATTAATTGAACTGGCAAACAGTATTTTTCTTTTATACATTTTGCTATTTTTTCTTGGTATCACCCCCCCACCCCCGCCCCTGTCTTGCGACGCCTCTGTATTATTTATTTAGTAATAGTGCTTTACGTACAATTTTCCTATTTTTAAAATACGACAAATAACGAACCACGCTTTTATTTATTCTTATGTACATAGTAGTGTAGTAATTTATTCAAGCGAAATTATTTTACTCTCTTCTTTTATTACTTTTTCGTACACGAAGTACAGAGGTAGTGTTGTAATCGCTTTATTTTGTGTTGTAAAAGAAATTTTAACATTCTTTCATACCTTCCTATTCTAAACTAAACATAGTATTGAGCTGCACTGTTTAGCACCATCAGAAAACGCACGAATAAGTTGGTTCGTTTTTTACCTCCTTTCCCTCCGTAGATGCACGTTGATACTAGATCTAGATCTAACTTCAAAATTTGCCGTTAAAACTGGCCAACACATCTATGCCTAGAGTTGAAAGGTTTTAGGTATCGATTTTTAATGAGTTCATATTTTTTCTTTATCAGATGGTATTTTTTTTTTAAATTTGCTGCAATTAATAGCAAATAAACAGTTGCTTTTAGATTCTATTTTGTTTTTCATTTTTCTTACAGTAGTTTTTATATCATCCATAGCTGGACTTTCCTTTCTGCAGCTAACAAGTTATCTCGATATTAAATGAATATTTCGATTACACTCCGATGTTTTAACACGATACCTAAAATTAGAATCGATTTAACTTATTAATAGGGTACAGTATGGTAGTGCCCTTTACCCGATGTCATCGTTATTTACTTAGACGGAGACGGTTATATTTAGACTTCACCGAATAAATACCAATACAGTCTCCCGAGACTTGCCGCCAGTAAAATAAAATAAACTCCACCTCCTCCCCCTCACCCCATTCCCCCCCCCCCCACCCCAGTTTATAACATTCACGTGCATTTATTTGAACTCATAAATTGATCTGAAATCTATACAAATGCATATTATGTGTCTACCCATCAATTCCAGATTGATATAATAAATATCCCAAGGTCTGACCATAATTCTAGTCCTAACTCTACCCCTGAAATTAGGCTTACCATGAATTAACCATTTCTCTGGTGTTTCAGTGTCCCCATGTTCTGAAAATGCCAAACACAAACAGTATATTTGCAGAGTGTAAAGAAGAGGGCCTTTTGGAGTTTCAAAAATGGTAAATATAGTTGACACGTAATATGGAATGTCATATTTCTTAACCTCTTTCAAAAAAATATTATTTTTAAAAGATATTTTTAAAATAAGATATTCTACAGTGTCTCTATTTTACAGATGAATAATCTTCTGACTGGAAATTATTTTCCAATTGGCAACTCTATACTGAAGTAGTAGCTTATCAATCACCATACTGTGACCGTTTTATTCGTTGGTGAAGGAGGGGGGGGGGGGGGGCATGTTATGTTTGAGAGGCCGTTTAACAACGCAACATGCTCTAGTTTTGTTTGCTGTGCCGAATACCATATCTCAGTAATGTTAAATCACTGATAAGGTTTTGCGAGTAATTAAATAAACGTCATAACGGGTTTTAGAACAATAAATTAACTTGGATCGTTAAGGTCGTATGAATGGAAACAAATATCTCAAGGTCAGGCAACCAAATCACACATACTTCAAGTCATGCGCCTACATATCAATATCGTGAGTTCATCTTAGAAATTAATGCGCTATTGTCAAGCTGGGTTGGGTGTGTATATTTCCCAATCATTACATTAATCTTTATTGACAGATTTTCTGAGATCTGTATTTTAGTATTGATCTCAATATTCAGTGATATGAAATAGATTTAGTGCCTTTATACATTGGGCAAAGGGCTAGATCTGTAATCAAGAGAGTACATGATGTACCTGCTATATCATCCCCAGGCAGGCAGCACTAATATAATACATGATGTACCTGCTATATCATCCCCAGGCAGGCAGCACTAATATAATACATGTTGTACCTGCTATATCACCCGCAGGCAGGCAGCACTAATATAATACATGATGTACCTGCTATATCATCCGCAGGCAGGCAGCACTAATATAATACATGATGTACCTGCTATATCATCCCCACGCAGCCAGCACTAATATAATACATGATGTACCTGCTATATCATCCCCAGGCAGGCAGCACTAATATAATACATGATGTACCTGCTATATCATCCGCAGGCAGTCATCGCTCCCTCCAGACACAGTGCTACAGGTGTGTCCAGTGCCTGAAACTTTACCTGACAAGCCACGGAAACTCTACTGCCCCTTCGCCAACAGAGACAACACGGAACCAGATCACAGAAAACACTTGGATGCGCTGGGTAAGTTGTTGTCCTCTGGATGCGCTGGGTAAGTTGTTGTCCTCTGGATGCGCTGGGTAAGTTGTTGTCCTCTGGATGCGCTGGGTAAGTTGTTGTCCTCTGGATGCGCTGGGTAAGTTGTTGTCCTCTGGATGCGTTGGGTAAGTTGTTGTCCTCTGGATGCGCTGGGTAAGTTGTTGTCCTCTTGATGCGCTGGGTAAGTTGTTGTCCTCTGGATGCACTGGGTAAGTTGTTGTCCTCTGGATGCGCTGGGTAAGTTGTTGTCCTCTGGATGCGCTGGGTAAGTTGTTGTCCTCTGGATGCGCTGGGTAAGTTGTTGTCCTTTGGATGCGCTGGGTAAGTTGTTGTCCTCTGGATGCGCTGGGTAAGTTGTTGTCCTCTGGATGTGTTGGGTAAGTTGTTGTCCTCTGGATGCGCTGGGTAAGTTGTTGTCCTCTGGATGCGCTGGGTAAGTTGTTGTCCTCTGGATGCGCTGGGTAAGTTGTTGTCCCCTGGATGCGCTGGGTAAGTTGTTGTCCTCTGGATGCGCTGGGTAAGTTGTTGTCCTCTGGATGCGCTGGGTAAGTTGTTGTCCTCTGGATGCGCTGGGTAAGTTGTTGTCCTCTGGATGCGTTGGGTAAGTTGGTGTCCTCTGGATGTGTTGGGTAAGTTGTTGTCCTCTGGATGCGCTGGGTAAGTTGTTGTCCCCTGGATGCGTTGGGTAAGTTGTTGTCCCCTGGGTAAGTTGTTGTCCTCTGGATGCGCTGTGTAAGTTGTTGTCCTCTGGATGCGCTGTGTAAGTTGTTGTCCTCTGGATGCGCTGTGTAAGTTGTTGTCCTCTGGATGTGTTGGGTAAGTTGTTGTCCTCTGGATGCGCTGGGTAAGTTGGTGTCCTCTGGATGTGTTGGGTAAGTTGTTGTCCTCTGGATGCGCTGGGTAAGTTGTTGTCCCCTGGATGCGTTGGGTAAGTTGTTGTTCCCTGGATGTGTTGGGTAAGTTGTTGTCCTCTGGATGCGCTGGGTAAGTTGTTGTACTCTGGATGCGCTGGGTAAGTTGTTGTCCTCTGGATGCGCTGGGTAAGTTGTTGTCCTCTGGATGCGCTGGGTAAGTTGTTGTCCTCTGGATGCGCTGGGTAAGTTGTTGTCCTCTGGATGCGCTGGGTAAGTTGTTGTCCTCTGGATGCGCTGGGTAAGTTGTTGTCCTCTGGATGCGCTGGGTAAGTTGTTGTCCTCTGGATGCGCTGGGTAAGTTGTTGTCCTCTGGATGCGCTGGGTAAGTTGTTGTCCTCTGGATGTGTTGGGTAAGTTGTTGTCCTCTGGATGCGCTGGGTAAGTTGTTGTCCTCTGGATGCGCTGGGTAAGTTGTTGTCCTCTGGATGCGCTGGGTAAGTTGTTGTCCTCTGGATGCGCTGGGTAAGTTGTTGTCCTCTGGATGCGCTGGGTAAGTTGTTGTCCCCTGGATGCGCTGGGTAAGTTGTTGTCCTCTGGATGCGCTGGGTAAGTTGTTGTCCTCTGGATGCGTTGGGTAAGTTGTTGTCCTCTGGATGCGTTGGGTAAGTTGTTGTCCTCTGGATGCGTTGGGTAAGTTGTTGTCCTCTGGATGCGCTGGGTAAGTTGTTGTCCTCTCTACTGGTTCTTTGTGTTCGATATGTTTATTATCATTTCTTTTTGTTTTGTTTCTGAGTTATTTGCTTTATGTCTGTGTATTGTTTATCTGTGTTGGTCCACTGTATTACTTTTGTGTTAGTTCTAAATATTACAGAGGTATGGAGATATTCTTAACAAAAGACTCAAATCTGACATACCTACAGAAAATAAAATCCAGTGGGTAGTGTTAGTATACTTGCCCCTCAGAGGCGTGTCTACCCATTCCTAAGTATTGGGTGGGGGAAAAAAGCGCCCCCCCCCCCCCCTCTTCTCCAGTCACTGTCCCTCAAAATTTCATTTTTGCTGTCCCACTAAAGATGTAAAAAACTGTTACGACAGTCTTTAAGGCAAGCAACAGTCTATATTTTCTTTACTTTGACAGTGTATGACGCAGTGATACAGCTCAAAATGAGCTTTTTTTTTTTATTATTTCTACCCCGTTTGCCCCCCCCCCCCCCCCCCCCCCAAGGGTCGTACAACCCTCCCCCAGCTACGATTCTGCTTCCCATTGTTTTGATTCTGACCTGAGTTCATCTTACCGCGCAGGTTTGTGGCGCACGTCCCGCTACAAGGATGGGATGTACCCTAAGCTGGACCGACTCGCCTCCAGGTATACCAAGAAAGCCTCCACGGTCAAGCGGGGCTTGTCCAAGAGCAGGATCAGCACGACGAGCAGCCTGGGGAAGACGTGAAGACCCTTGTCATATCCATCAGCAATGTCCTGGCCCAGCAGAGATCCATCATTAATGTCCCAGCCAGCAGATCATACAAAGGAAGATACCATCACAAAAACAACAAAAAATTATTATAAATATTTTAACGAATAAAGAAAGAACTTATTTTCCTGTGGAAGTATTTTTTTATAAAATTAGTTATTATTTTAGTAAATGTTTTTTTTCTTGTAAAAAAACATTGTTCTTTCAGGCATCTTCTTCGTTACAACTACTGCCCCTTTTACCATTATTATATCCCCTCCCCCATCCCAATTCCGGGGATTCAAATGACCCCTGGAGCAAAATGTCAACAGATTTTAGCCCTGCATAGCAGACATTGGGGTACAGTAGAACCCATTAGACATAGGTCGTATCCAGAGGCGTAGCGAGGGGGTTGCGGACCGCACCGGGTGACACCAAGGCAGAAAATAGTAAAATATATAGAGAAAAATTTGAGGGGGGGGGTGCAAATCGAAAATTGAAAGTTTGTCCCTGGGAAGAGTCGCTACGCCTCTGTGGGGGGGGGGGGGTGACACCTTTAAGCATTAAGAGCCGCACAGGGTGACACCCGACCTCGCTACGCCACTGGTCGTATCTGCAGACAGATGCGGTAAATGCACTTTTCATGAAAAATTCCTACCCTTTTATTCTTTGGTCAAAAACTTTTTGTTAAAATTCTAAATGCAACATCAACTAGAGTGCTGTCGTTAACGAGTACAAATTATTTTAATGTCTAGTTAACAATGTATTAAAATCGAATTTAAAACTATTTCCTATATCTTTTGAAAATAAACATAAAAGTGAGAAGATCCGGAATTATTTGAAACACCAACTCCCGTTGGATCTTTACCAGCAAGTATTAGGCTACATAGGCGCCGATTGGCTGGTATATGGTTTTCTTAAATATTTAAAGTTTTCTCAACTATTTATAGTTTTCTTAACTATTTACAGCTTTCCAAGGACCCAACACACATGTATGCTTCCATACAGATGAACATGTCAATCTGATTTCACTTGGGTCTGAGCAAGTGTCCACTGTGTTGATTAGAAGATATAACGTAATCGCGAACAGTTGTACAGTAGTATTAATACTAATAGTTTCGCTGTCTGTCTGACAAGAACGCTCTGTCTGACAAACACGCTCTGTCAGACAAGAACGCTCTAGAGAAAACACAAGGAAATTAAAACATGCATAGTATTTCGAAAAACGAAGTATGACGTCGACACATTTAGCACAGAGTAGAAAATAATCTCAAACCGGAGAGTAAACATTGAATAAAAAGGAAATTTTGTCTTATCTAAGTGGTTTGCGTGAAGAGTTTCTTTCATACAATTCTTCGGGTAGGGGCGAAGCCCCACCCCCGCGTAAGAACGTCTGAGCCCCCCCCCCCCCCCCACCCCTAACTCAAAAGAAATTTCTTCATCGATACTCTATAATAAAATTACCGCCTAATTAATGTGTCTAATCTAAAAAGTGGTTTTCTTGCAATTTCTTTAATGCAATTCTTCGGGTAGTGGCTAAGCGCGACACCAGTGTTTCTTTCAGACTTTTTCCTCCCCGGAGAGGGGTGGGGGTACTTGAAATTTTCGGGGGCGGGGGTAGAATTTTCTGGGAGGGGGCGGACACTGGAAAAAGTATATAATTATATTTCGTTGAATGGGACGGTAGACATGTTTTTTTTTGTGGGGGGGGGTTGGGGGGTGGGGTGGGGACGGGGGGCGGTGTGTGGGGGGGATGGTGTGTGTGGGGGTGGTGTGTGGGGGTGGGGGGGTGGGGGGTGGTGTGTGGGGGGGGTGGGTTGGTTTTAGTTTAGAGAAAAGAGACAGCACTATCAGCCTAGCGCCCGTTGTACCCTTCCTCAACGGGCCATTTTTCTCGTAATTCATAATTTGCTAAAGTCGATTGGAGAAAATTTGCACACATATGCCCAATGTTGATTGGAGAAAATAATTTGCACGCATATGGCTAATGTTGATTGGATATATTAATTTGCACACGTCCCCTGAGACACCGTAGTAAAACGGATGTGAACCATGTTTGGTCTGTGAAGGCGAGGAAAAAGTGTGGTTTCACTGATAAAATACGTGCGTATACATTGTAAGTTCATTTGTATTTAGGGACTCGCCCCCTATCAACAGTAGAATATTAGTGTGGCGTATTGTTTGCGGTGCCTATAGAATAAAAACTAGACGATACAGAGTAGATTTGAGGGAATCAGAAGAAATAATTCATTAGAGTCTGTTAGCTTCTGCTGGCTAGGTAAAGATCTACTAATAGATGTACACAAATATGTACACAGAATCTAACGGTAGGCATGGAGATTGGTCGAGACTGCGATACAAGAAAGTTAGGTGTAGGCAACTAACATAATAGCTAATACAATGTTCATTTTGTATCTTATAACTTCCTACCATAGTTTCCATCCACTGACATAAATACAAGACATTACAAGAACACAATAATAAACGCAAGCCAAAATAAAGCCAACGTCAAATCGATACACGGATGACAGTAACATCGAAGAATCGATTGTCGATTGATTTTTGCTGATACTGAAGGGATTTGTCGGATAGACAGGCTGAGATGATGACGTCAGCGGCGGAGGGTCTGGCGCCGAGCTCATGATGGCTGATTCTAAATGGTCACGTGATTGGCGTGACCTCCTGAGCCCGTACATGTAGATTTATAGACGGGTTTAGTTGCTCGTAGTTGAGCGCTATATCACAAAACCAAGTTGCTAGTCAGACATTCGTAAGTCGACTCAGCCCTAATGCGTACCGCAGCGATGCTGCGAAGAGCAAAGGAGCTGCGCATTTTACTTACAATCTAATCCTACAGGAAAAACTCTACTTCACCTAGCAGTCCAGGTCTCAAAACAATACTTACCTGGGATTGTTTTTGTTTTTTAAATATTAGAAGGAAAAAAAACATAAGGAATGTGCAAAAAAATTGGGGTCACCTTTGAGTTACAACAGGAATTTGTAAACATAGAGTCTGCAATTAAGCATAGATTCTTTGTTTTAAAGAGATGACTTTAGTTCTGGTGACATGAAGTTTATAAAACATTTTTTTTTTAAATTGTCCAGCGACACAATGAGTGTTGGTGACGCCTTATTTTTCTGTTCATTTGTCCAGAAACACAATGAGTGTTGGTGACACCTTTTTTTTCTGTTCATTTGTCCAGCGACACAATGAGTGTTGGTGACGCCTTTTTTCTGTTCATTTGTCCAGCGACACAATGAGTGTTGGTGACGCCTTCTGCTGCAGGGGAGGCTTTTCCCAGCGGTTCATGATGGAGGTGTTGCTATGGCGAGACTACGTCAACACCAAGCCATCGTCTGCTTGCCTGCCCAGGTAACCTGTCATTACCGTCGTCTGTTGTTGTTTTTTTTTTTTTTTTTTTTGGGGGGGGGGGGGGGGGGGGGCTCGTTTCAAAGGTCTAGTTGGGTCCTAATAATATTCATGAAACGTATTTTTGTTTCCGTTACTCCTAAATTAACATACACATACAATGTAAAAAAATTGTATTTTTGTGACAATGTTTCTGCTATATGTCAGCGTGCTAATACCAACAGTATTTCTTTCGGACATTTTCTCATGGGGGGGGGGGGGGGGAGTATATTTCAAACAAAATTTCGGGTAAGCGCATTTAAATTTCCAGGGTAGTGGGGGAGTGACATTGGTTACAAGATATTTTTATATATATTAATTATTGTTTCCTATTTCATCCCAGGGAAGGGGGTATATTTCCTCCAAGCATAGAGCCCCTCACCCCCGAAAGATACCTGAAAGAAACTTTGTATACCAATTATTCTATTTATGTAAGGGCCTATATGCCCACATCAGCGTAATATTATGTTATATTAAAGATATGGATTCCAGCGTAGGCGTACCCAAAGTCCCGTTCTCCTGAAAGTTCTAGAGAAGGTAGTCATGACTTCTTCTTTCTCAGGCAGGGTCAGTCAATGATTCGTCTGCTGCATTTCGTCGGGGATTGGGGCAACATTTTAAAAAAAAATCATTGACCGTCTAAATTTTCTTTAAACTTTAAAAGAGATCCATGCTCCTTGGCCCCATAAGTAATAAGACAAGTGTCATGTTGTCTTAGCCCAGTAGTAATCATAGATTTACATAGTTGTTTACTACATCCATTACAACACAGCGGTTAAGGGGTCGTCCATAAATGACGTCACACTCTTAGGGGGGAGGGGGGTCCGTAATTTTGTGACGGTGTGTGATGAGGAGAGGGGGGGGGGGGTTCAGATGGTGCGACGTCACACTTTTGCATTATAAAAAAGCAATGTTAGAAAACGAATTTTAGACTTTAGACGTTATTTCGCGTTTTAGAAAGCTGTTTTAATAAATTGTAAAAGGAATTGATTAAAATTAAAATACTTTATTTTGACCGAGTTCAGAAAAATATCCATGTTTAAAAAAAAATTCAACTGTAATTTTGAGGGGGGGGGGTGTAGGCTGAGGTGTGACGTCATTTTAGGGGGGGGGGGTCTGGCTTTTTGTGACGAAGGGTGACGGAGGGGAGGGGGGGGAGGTAAAAATCGTCAAATAAAGCGTGACGTCATGTATGGATGACCCCTAATTTACAGTTCTGCTAAATACCCGACTGATGTTTAAAATCGTTGTTATCCCGACACCGCATCACAAAACTTTATTCTGACAGGTACCACAGACCTCCCGTCGTCATCAAGAGCCAGTGTCTCTGTCCACCAAACTCTCTCTGCATGGCTCGTCGCCTTCACCAGCTAGATCGTAAGTTGTCTTTGTGATAGCACCAGGCTAGATCGTGTCTTTGTGATAGCACCAGCTACACCGTGTCTTTGTGATAGCACCAGCTACATCGTGTCTTTACCACCAGCTAGATCGTGTCTTTGTGATAGCACCAACTAGATTGTGTCTTTGTGATAGCACCAGCTTGATCGTGTCTTTGTGATAGCACCAGCTAGATCATGTCTTTGTGATAGCACCAGCTAGATCATGTCTTTGTGATAGCACCAGCTAGATCGTGTCTTTGTGATAGCACCAGCTAGATCGTGTCTTTGTGATAGCACCAGCTAGATCGTTACTTTGTGACAGTACCAGCTAGACTGTGTCTTTGTGTGAGTAATTAAATTACCCCTAAAACTTCTTGAGGGTTAGGGCAACACTTTCAGTTGAATCAGTAGGTATATTTGTCGAGAATACGCATAGAGGCAAGTGTTTTTAGTATATGCTGTCTGGTGAGAATATGGTATCAAAATATCAAATTGGCAATTTCTGGATATTCTTGAATTAAAAAATAAAGTAGCCTACCACTTTCGAATACTACACGTGGAAATTAGAAACCTAAGTGTAGTATCTAATACTTGTATATCAAAATTTGTCTAACTGAAACGGAAAAAAAGAGAAAAGTTCCACTTCCGGTTGCCTGAAATTACTCAAAAGTTGATAGAAACAATTAAGAAGGAAGAAGAAGATAGAAACATATTTATAGGATCTAACACTAACTTTTATTCAAGTGCTCAAGTTATCGTGAGCACAAACAAGACAGGCAGACTTACAAACGATATTGTGAAACGTCGTGATTTGTTATAATCGCATTTCAAATTTCTTGAATGATTATACTTCCCGGTACTGCATACATAGGAAAGTAAAAAAGAGGATTGAGTGGGAATATTAAATTTTGTATTATAAATAACCAAATTCTTTGTTCTATTTTCCAGACTTTGAAAGTGCTGAGTGTGGATATTACTGTAATAACACAGACCACATGAATGATTCATCTAGATAGAACACCCTCAGTCAACTTATAGATGAACACCCCAAGTCAACATAAAGCTGAACACTCCAAGTCAAAATATAGATGAACACCCCAAGTCAACATAGATGAACACCCCAAGTCAACATAAAGATGAACACCCCAAGTCAACATATATATGAACACCCCAAGTCAACATACAGATGAACACCCCAAGTCAACTTATAGATGAACACCCCTAGTCAATTTATAGATGAACACCCCAAGTCAACATATAGATGAACACCCCAAGTCAACATATAGATGAACACCCCAAGTCAACATACAGATGAACACCCCAAGTCAACATATAGACACAACAACTGAAGTTAACATCTAGATATAGCAAACACATCATAAAACTGGGCATTATCACACAGCTATGAAATACTGAATAACAAATCAATTGAAATAAATGAAAGATAAAATTACAAAACACAACTTTATTACAAATATTTTTTTTTTTTTTTTTTTAGTATCAAACTAAAAGTTATAAACAGTAGTAGAAATTCTAAGAATTGAAGATATTATATGCATATTGTGGTATCTATGTACATCCAATACATTTATAAATATGTAATAATACTTAATTAAACAATGAATCAATCTAATCATTAGGTAAGTAAGACACCCTTCTAGCTGTTGTGGTGGATATTGAGCAGTTTGTTGTGGGCAGCTGCATCAAGCAACATGTGAAACTTAGTTCATGTTTAGGTGGGGTATTTGGTCAAATCTTTTTAGTTCACGTATAGGTAGGGTATTTGGTAAAACCTTTTTTTATTCTTTTAATAGCAATAATCAGATAAACTAGATTTAAAAAAATAATAAATGAGATTTTTTTTTCACAGAGTCCAAAATATTGCAAACTTATTAAGTTTCCTTAACCGATTTACTAAACTCAAATTATAAATTATGCACTATTTATTTGTAGGCATGCACAAGTTATGATAGCATTTGATAAGTATTCATAAACTAGTTGTGTAGGCTAATATGAATAGATATTATATTTATATAATCATTCATGAATTTAATGTTTTAAAGCAAGCAAAAAAAAAAAGTAAAAAATACCACATAAGGTTGCTGTGGGCGTTTCAAGTGCATTAGTAAGTGTTGAATAACAATAAAAAGATAGCATTAGAAAGAAAAACATGCTTTTAATAGTTTAGTTTTTTAAAAAATAAATTTAAAAGTATTTTTAAAAATATATTGATATTGGCCACTTAAAAAATTGCATACAATTGTTTTTGTCAAGGCAACATATAAGGCTAAAAATTAATGTAAAAAAATATTGCCTTTGCACTTATGTAAACAGTCTTTTATTGAAATCAACCATTTTTTTCTAATGCAGTGGCCAGATTTAGCAAGTAAAAAATGTAATTTTTAATACACCAAAAAATATTTAAGAAAAATTACAAACAATATTTAGTTTATTTATTCATGTAATATTTAGTTCTGAAACATCAAAAGCATCACCATCAAATGACAGTGATCATCTGTTTCTGATAAGGCAAGAATATCAACAAAAATGTTAGCGCTGAGAAAAGGATCACAAACACAAGTATGATAAAATACCCTGGGTTAGTTAGATTTTAAAAAAACCACACATAGCTAGTAGAAAAAAAACTCACTGCAACATAAATGTAGAGGAAAACCATTACAATAGTGGAGTGGATATGGGAGAACCAAGTAGAAATATTAGACAGGATGATAAGTGTTTAAAGAACTTGTACGGCCATACAAGTGGGCTCTGGCTATGGCTTTAAGCCATACAAGTGATCTAAACAACTGCTAGCTGTGGCATACAGCCATATAGGTAATCTAAACAACTGCTAGGTGTGGCTTACACAGCCATACAAGTGATCTAAACAACTGCTAGCTGTGGCTTACAGCCATACAGGTGATCTAAACTACTGGCTGTAGCACACAGCCATACAGGTAATCTAAACAACTGCTAGCTGTGGTGTACACAGCCATACAAAGGATCTAAACAACTGCTAGGTGTGGCTTACACAGCCATACAAAGGATCTAAACAACTGCTAGCTGTGGCTTACACAGCCATACAAAGGATCTAAACAACTGCTAGCTGTGGTGTACACAGCCATACAAAGGATCTAAACAACTGCTAGCTGTGGCTTACAGCCATACAGGTGATCTAAACTACTGGCTGTAGCACACAGCCATACAGGTAATCCAAACTACTGTTAGCTGTGGCATACAGCCATACTGGTGGTCTAAACTACTGTTGGCTGTCTGCATACCATATTGCATTGCAACAAAATGTGTAAAAAGGACACAAGATAAAATAAATACTGTCATGGGCGACAATATATACACATACAGTAGTAAACCAGTTACCTAAACCAGATAAATATCAGTCATACTAAGACTTAAATCCCAGGGCTAAAGTTAATCTAAACCTGTTCAACATCACTCTCTTCAAAATAAACTAGTTCATCTAAACCTATTCAACATCAACCAGTTTATCAGACAACCATCCTTAGAAGTTTCCAACATATACTTAGCCCATGAAACAAGACATTGTGCAAGTAACTTCTAACAGTTAAACAATGACTAAAGCATATGTATGACACATAACATAATCTCAAATATTGAACATAAATCGTGGCATGAAGCTCAACAAATTACCATGACAAATATCAACTAAGCCTAATTTTTTCAAATTTCTTTTTAAAACATTCCTTATTGAATTTTTTCAACAATCAATGAATATATAGGCTCAAAGTTTTGCTTTAATTTGTGTCACCAAAAAAATGATTGGTTGGTCATTAAAATCACAAGGTATGGCACTACAATCATGATTTTAATCATTACAAGAACCTTAATGATTGTATATTCTAACATCAGATTCTAGCATTTTAGAATGATACATGCATAAATAAAGTAGTTCTATGAACAAAGTGATGTATAGTTTGTTAAATTGTTTAGTGAAGAGCAGCAGTTGCATGAGATTATAAAGAAAATGAATCAACTGTTCTAGTGAATAAAATGTTTGGACCTCCTTCTACTGGGTTGAACTTGTTACAAAGTATAGTGTACAAAATTAGACACTGATCAAGTTGTATCATAGGGGTAACATATACCTTGGGGAGTTGCCTCCCTGTACAACAGTTAATAAATGTCTCAGGAACCTTTTTGCCTCCACTCAAGCAAAGCATTTGCAACAAAACATACACAATCCAACATTTGAAAACAACAGGAAGGTAGAACATTTTTTAAGTAATTGTTTTAAACAAATAAAACCATATCAACTGTTTAGTGAAACTGATTCTGGTGTATCATAGTTGATTCACCTCCATTTCTCTTTGTGGGAATCATAGTTAAATCACTTCATACATCAGTATTTTTGTTAGGATGTATCTTTACAAAATTAAGTTTTTAGAAAATGAAAATAATTCATGTAGATATAAACTGAAGTGTCACACAGAATTAAAAAAACAAAAGGAACATACCTTGTTTCTAACTTAACAACATGGATTGAAATAAAAACTCAAACCCCCTCCAATAAATAATACTCTTTTAGTAGTATTTGTACCTCTTGAAATATAACTGTACCCCTTGCCAACCATGAGATTTTATCAAATGGATATTTACAGCTTAATATATTCATACATAGTTCCAGATGCTACCACTACATATATATATATATATATATATATATATATATATATATATATATATATATATATATATATATATGTATACCTGAAGCTTCTAGTTAACCTTAAGAACATGGAATGTAGTAAGGCTGCAATAGGACAGTTAAAGAACTCTAACTCAATTCTAATGTACACTCTAAGAAAAAAAGGTATAGTAGAAACTGAAAAAGTTATGCTGTAATAAAATAACCAACTAAAATTGCAGTGATCTTTATACAGTACCCAGTCAGCAATGTATCTTTGAATGCTAACATTATATAGATTTTATATGTCCATTTTTTATACCTGTACAGAGTGTACGAATATTTTGCATCTAAAAAACTAGGTTCTATAACTATTTGGGTTACAATTCTGGCTAAAATGGGCTAAAGAGTCTATGCATGTACTCAACAAGAATTTGTCACAAATACCACTGTAAGTTAATTTTAAAACAATGGAATTTTAAAATCTTCTATCTATTGTTTTTCTAAATTTAAGATATTGTTTCTGAATATTTTGTGTCTGACAAAAGCAAGAGATGCATTTAGAGTATCAAAATTTAGACGTATACACTAGCTACAAAATAAGTTTTAGTCAGCTGCTCACAGAAAATGGCTTGAGTATGTGGCATTCTTCTTGATCCTGACCCCCATATTTTCACAAAAATTTTGAGTAAATGGAATACAGTTAAAGTAGATGCACCAATGGCAGTCTGTCAGTGGTGCCACATAAAATATGATGACTAAGATAGAAAACAGCCCTATTGAAGCACCAAGGCAAACAATAATACTTATAATTTTCCGTCTGCGGTCAAACACTCCAAAAGACACATATGGCATCAAAGCAAAGGCCAGAAGGAACCCGAAGAAAAAGCCAAAGAGGTGAGCCCAGTTGTCTATCCATGGCAAGAGACCCAGTAGAAAGAAGCCCATCAGGGGCAGCATCAGTTTTATAACAGCCAAAAATGGATGCTTGTACATCTGGAAGCTCTGGAGTACTTCCACCAGCAGGCATGCCGCCACTCCAAACTGTGCACCTGATGGCCCGGCCTGAAACCAGAGACACAGCACTAGTACAACCCTTACAGCATCCACCCCTCATAAATAGGTCACCCACCTCTGGGCAATAGGTCACCCACCTCTGGGAAATAGGTCACCCATCTCTGGGCAATAGGTCACCCATCTCTGGGAAATAGGTCACCCACCTCTGGTGAATAGGTCACTCACCTCTGAGAAATAAGTAACCCACCTCTGGGGAATAGGTCACCCACCTCTGGGCAATAGGTCACCCACCTCTGGGGAATAGGTCACTCACCTCTGGGAAATAAGTAACCCACCTCTAGGGAATAGGTCACCCACCTCTGGGCAATAGGTCACCCACCTCTGGGGAATAGGTCACTCACATCTGGGGAATAGGTCACTCACATCTGGGGAATAGGTCACCCACCTCTAGGGAATAGGTCACCCACCTCTGGGGAATAGGTCACTCACATCTGGGGAATAGGTCACCCACCTCTAGGGAATAGGTCACCCACCTCTGGGGAATAGGTCACTCACATCTGGGGAATAGGTCACCCACCTCCGGGGAATAATAAGTCACCCACCTCTGAGGAATAGGACACCCACCTCTGGGGAATAGGTCACTCACATCTGGGGAATAGGTCACCCACCTCCGGGGAATAATAAGTCACCCACCTCTGAGGAATAGGTCACCCACCACTAGGGAACGGACCATCACCTTTTGAGAATTTCAATTAGCATACCCACTTCTAAGAAGTAGGTCACAACCTTTTGAGAAGTAGGTGATCTACCTATGTGATGCAAGTAACCCACTTCTCTCAAGGTCACCCACCTCTGGGAGGGAAATATGTGAGCACCTCTAGAACATACATCTGCTGACACATGAGGCAATTCTTACCTCAACTTGATAAGGAATGAATGTGCAGCTTGCCAGGTTTCCTGCCACCCCTGCACCCAGGTAGATGATGGTGATGCGGATAGCACCCATCAACTTCTCCAGATCTCTCATGATCCACATTTGGAAAACTATTGTGAAAATCAGGTGCACCAAACTGGAAAAATATTTGTTATATTAGCTGAAGTACATTCCTGGGAGTCAAAATATTAGGTCTTTAAACTATTAGAAATATATATATGGGCAATGAATATATCTATAAGTATTAGATTTATGTGGGAGTCAAGAATTTAGGCTTAAAAGCAAGTGAATGTACACAAGTTGCTTGTATATAGGGACTCGAGCTAAGTCTAAAAACAACTGTAAATGCGGATTCATCAGGTGACAAATAAAATATTTCTGGCTAATTGTGAGGGATATATCTGAAGAGGCAGTCAGACATTATTTTCTCCCAATACTGAAATTTGGTTCTGTATAATCTGTGTTACTAAAATACCGTTGTGTGAACTTTCAGGTTGACTTGGCCAGCTTGTGAACACACAGTATGCATTTGTTATATGAGTGAGGGGATTAAATACTACCTAGCATAATCTAACATTTCTGGAACAGAAACGCCAAAGAATATTTCTGGTCAGGGGTAATGGTTTTTTCATTGAAAAAGTGACAAATTGATGCTTACCCTCCATGTAAAAATAAAGAAGTCATTGAAAAAGTGAAAAATTGATGCTTACCCTCCATGTAAAAATAAAGAAGTCCAAAGTCTGTAAAATTGATCGGGATTCTTTGGATTAGCAAATGGAATCATTCCACAGATTTCTTCAAAGCAATTGACCTAAAGGGATGAGCAATTTTTAAAACAGGATGATAAAATTTTATGTTTTTACTACTTCAGGATACTATTTTGAATTATTTTTCTTGTGGATATGATTAGATGTATATAGTGCAGTTATCAAAACCCAGAGTGTATGTCTACAGGATTTGGCCCAGCAGCAAAGCTTGTCAACATACCTGTGAACAAAGTGTAGCCTCGTAATGAAAGAAGCCTCGCTTCAGGTCACAATGCTCTTGTGTAGTGATGATACACTCTCCCTGGATACCAAAACAACAAGGTCGGCCTAGGATCTCACAGCTCATGTGCTGATCTTTCTGGCTGGCCAATGACTGGTTGGGTCTGGCCGTCTCCTTACACAGCTACAACCAGAACAACAAGGGCATTCAAACAAGTCTCTAAGGGAAATGGTGTATTCAATATATGTTTTGTTTATTCTCTTGTACTTTCTGAAAGACACTCTAGTTTGGTCTCCAGATTTATACAGAAAATTTACCCTAATTTCATGTGTCATCAGTCTAAGTGAAAGTTAAAACAAATGAATGTAAATACGGATAAATCTAATTAGCTCAATCTATACGAATGAAATGTAATTACAGATAGATCAATTAGTTCTATCTATACAGTAGTTTTAGAATTTGTTGTACACAATTCAATCATTTCTTTTATTAACTTTTCTATTTTTTTTGCTATTAACCTCTAATGACAAACACACTATGCTTTGCAGAATAAAACATGTATAAAAATTATAAAATGTATAAAAAAATGTATTAGAAGCTTTTAATTGCACATTACAAATAAACCACAGCTGAGTTACAAGATTTGACTAAAAACCCATAGACCTAGTGATTTAAAGTAAAAAACTTGGAATAAAAGAGCCATACAGAGCATGGGTAAAATAACACAATAAGCAGATTAATTTTATTTAAGCCAAACTAAATATAACTTTTAAATAAGTTTGATGGTTTTAGAGATTGTACTTTGACTTTTTCACAAATGTTCCCTCTACCATTTGGTTTTCAACTTACAGGCCACTGTGTGATGTCATCTAACCAGATAAATGGAGGGGTTGATGAAGGGTTGTTGCAATACCTGGGCAAGATTAATTTGATTTCATTAGTAAGAGCTTCATTACACCACAGTATACAATCGTATAAAATTAATTTTCTTTTTAAATATAATTTCTACCCAACATAGATGCAAATACATGATAGAAAGCACAAATACTTACTTTGGATCTTGACCACAAACTGAACCACTTAGTCTTGAATCAGGTCCTGGGGCTTTTACAGTCCATTTTTCAAAACGTGATAAAATTTCCTGAATGTTTAATTACACAGTATATTGTACAATTCTACAATATTAACAGGTATTTCAAGATTAGGTATATAGCGTACTGATACATTTTTATAACAATTTACAAATCTTTTAAAATGTGAAATGACAAACATTATATTTTAAAGAAAACTATGATGTCTCAGCCCACACCAAAAAATATTAACCTGACCCCCCCCCCCCCCCCCCCCCCACAATGTATGTCAACATTTAGTGACAACCAAAACAGATGAACAAGAATTTCACAATAAAATAATTATTGTTTTAAATCTAGCCCTTTTAGCAACAAATAAAAGAATCATTTAGTATTAAAATCCCCCCTCTGATAATAATAAAAACAATGACGTGGAAACCAAGCACCAATGTGTAAACTTACACTACATGCATCTTCCACCGTCTGCACACAGCCAGAACCATCATTCCTGATGCAACAAGCAGAGCCTCTTTCTTCATCCCTATCTAAGTTTATAGCTGCATTGAGATTTTCATCAGTCCGCATGCACGGCGAGTATTTAGCACCAAGGTGAATCAAATCAGCCTAAATTTAAACCAGTAAGAGAATATAATTTCAAACTGCATAAAGAGGGTAATGGTCACAAACATATCAGGGTTGCCTGATATGCCTGTAGCGTACTGATATTTTACCGTAGTAATTTAATTGTCATTTCAACCCCAAGTAATGATATGTATCAGCAAACAGCAAACCCAATAGTTTCAATTTCGGATCCTGTTTTCAATCTGTGTGACGTTCCTGGGTCAACTCAGCTCTGATGGGTACCTGACTCATGATAGGAAACAAAGGCGGCTGGCCATGATGCTGACAACAGATTAACTCTACTTCATTAGCCCCATGTTTCTTGGGTACGAACAGGAAAAGATGATCATCACATCACTGGTAGCTGTTAATTATGCAGACAGCTTTGTGTTTAGCACTGTTTGCATTAGATACCAGTATAAATAGTTTCGTTACAACCCAATCTCATGGTACTAGAACTGCTGTGTTTTTCACAGCAGGCCTTAAATGCTGAAAAACTTTATGTAAGACACTGTAAGAACCAGATATGTAAACATCTAATCCCACTGATGAAAGGCTGATGAGTTATTTCATGGCTCAGTTGCTCCTGCCAGTACAAGACAGTATCAATCCAAGATACATTTCTAGAGGTGATCTATTTACTCACCTGCCTAGGTCCAAACCACAAATTGTCCTTTTCCATATGAGTTTCAGTTTGGATAGCAAGGTTAGGCATTCTGACCTGACAAGGGAATAAAAAATTTGGTTATTTTGGTAATCAGTAAAAACAAATATGAATAATATAGCATATATATATTTATCCCTAAGTTTAAATTTTTTATTCTGATTCTGATGGAATTATATTTTATTTAATGTATGTAACTGGTTCAACAACTTTAAGTTAACAGTAAAAGAATAAAGTTTCTAAGAAATGAAAAATATAGCTTTTAATAGCCTTCTTTTATCAGAAATTGTGTCCAGCTAGAGAATCTCTGGATCTGACAAAACATAGACAAACTGTAGAAAAAACGTTTTAAACTTACATTTGCTGACTCCGGTGTTTGTCCAATGCCAAAGGGTGCAAAGCCATAAACAGAGACTGCTACTATAAAGACAACGATCTGTACAAATGTTACCCAGTATGTAAAGTAAGGCCTGGAGAATGAGCATAATATGTGAGCAGGAGAGATGCTGAGATTCAGTCATGGACATTCATTTCTATGTATTATTTCTTGTGGTCAGTGCCTGTAGTCACCCTGGTTGTGGCCAGACTTGTAAGTTAACTTATTCACTTTTCTTTTTCCCCTGCATTAATTTCTTAAATAAACTGTTATCATGTTCTAAACAGGTGTCAATTCTTTAAATTAATGCTAAGTCAGTAGTTCTGTTTAGAAATTTAGATATATCAACTTGCTTATTAAGAAAATGTTTAAAAGACTTGAGACCTAATCATGTATGGTATAACCAATTTTACTTTAATAATGGTTGTTACCTATGATCATCTAAATTGTCCAACTGTTGTTTGATTTCTTTATCCATGATGACTGTACTCTTGAGCCTGCGTCTGGTGACTTTACCAAGGATCCCCATACCTACTTGACGTTTATCTTTACTAAACGCTGTCATTAACACCTGAAAGTGTTAACAATATATGGATACGCTGGTTTATTTTACAGCCCCTATTCACACAATTCTACACTTAGATACAATATAGGCATAAAAGTAGGAAATCAAATTGTGTTTACTAGGTGCTTTTAAAATGCTTCTGTAATTCAATTTTAAAGACTAAATGGCTTACTTTATTTTAAATGTTTTGAATAGTTTGGAGGACTTTACTTTGAAGCTAGTTTTTGACTTATTAATTCTTTCTTTAAGAACTGTATTATAAATCATAAGTAACTGATACAAATTTAAAGAACAAATGGTATGCTAATGACATGTGTTTGTTAACAATGTGAAGATTAACATTTTCACTTCACAAATGTTGTTTCATGGTTTTTTTAATTTAATGAGTTATACAAGAACACAAACATAGTTCATATGTTTCTGTCTCCTTTTATGAACAAATAATTTCTTAAATTTATGGTTACAGATTAACTTTTTGAAAGATTAAAAGATGGCAAGTAAAAATATGAAATAATTTTAAAAAAAACTGAGTAGCACTGACTGTGTCTTTGATCTTCTTAAAACCAAGATCAACCATGTCCTCTCCAGGGGTAGAGGGTATAGCTTCAGGAGGTTTCCTTCTCCAGCCTGGAGCACTTGGACCTCCAGCTAGTTCCGGAGATTTTTGCCTGACAGATCAATTTATAGACAACATTCATTTACCTTCAAAAATATTTATGAAAATATGGATACCTTAGGCAACGGACTTTGGCTTTTGGACGGTAGCATGGACAAAACCACACCAAAACAAGAAAAGGTAGTACCAACATCGTTTACACTTAAATAACTTGAGTGCTAAGCAACAGACAGAACAGTGTGATCATTTTCTAGGCATGAGTGACTCACACACCCCTGACAATCACATAAATAACTGAGTGACAGTAACAGACACAGGGGAATGCCAGTGTTGATGAGCTAAGCTAAGAACAGCTACAAAAACAAACAGCTTTCACTGCCGTCTTTTTAATCAAATTCAGCCTAACAATCTTTCTTGTGTAATATTATAACCAGGGACATGAATATATAGATGCAGATTTTGTAATGTTCACCATAAGATCAACACTTACGGAGATGCAGCAGGAGGTGGTTTAAGAGGTTTCTCATCAAAAAACACATCATCAACCAAGCTAAAATCATCTTCTGTCTGGAAAAGTTAAAACTGAATAAGACAATGATTTCTATGAACAACAGATCAATAACTTCACTTGAAATTACATCCATTTACGTAACTTTTATAAACTGCCGAGGAAAAAATCCTCTAATTTAAAAGAAAATTATTTGTTCTCAAGCAAAGAGTAATTAGTTAAAAATGTCATTTCCCAGTGGTAAATTTACCTTGGGCTCATCAACACCATGCCAAATACTTCCTCTAGGAAAACTTTGACCTTGAGCCTTAAATGATTTCTTTCTCTGCATCTCTTTCTGATTAGTCTGAAAACAAATTTCACAAGATAGATCATTTTGAATTTCTTATAAAGTTGTGCACATTTGTTGGGTAAGAAACGTACTTTGAGATTATACTTTTCTCAAACTTTAGTGTATCTGATATAACCACTGATTAATTAGAGGTTTAATTTACATATAATTTAAAGATTTCAGTCTGAGCTCCAGCTGGCAAATTACCTTTCAAGTTTTTAAAAAGTTACCTTTCAAGTTTTTAAAAAGTTACCTTTCATGTTTTTAAAAAGTAACTATTAGTTATTAGTAGCTAAATTACTTTTACATTTTACTTATATCAATGTATACATGTTTAAATAGCTATCAACTAAACAAATAACTTACTGATAATGAACTAATTCCCTTAACAGTCATCTGGAAAACTGACTTCTTTCTTGTATCTTTGCGACCCCCTGGAGCACCAGGCATTCCTGATGAAAATGAAACTCTCGACATCTGCCTAGACATGCGAGAAAAGCGCAGTGGATCTTTAACATTGGGCGGCGCACCATCAGGGTAGTCTTGCTCAAACAGATCATCTTTGAGACCTTTTCCCATGGAACTGGCAATCCTGAGGCGGCGTTTCTCCCATCTGAGAGCATTTTTTTCATCTTCTTCTCCAACTCCAAAAAATTCTGCAATGCTTTTTCTTGCTTTTCTGAAGTCAATTTATTACTCATTTTACATATATTTTAGATGTTACACACTAATATTAATATATATATATATATATATATATATATATATATATATATATATATATATATATATATATATATATATATATATATATTACTATTATTAAAATTTCTTAATCAAGTTAGGTACTTAAACATAATATATATATTTTAAAGACTTAATTTCACATGAGAAACTATTTCAAATATTGTTTCGCCTGCAAAACTTTTTACAAGAAATAGTAGTCATAACACCTTTGAACAATGTCTATTTAGGAATGTTGATAAACTTACTGTCTGTACTTAGCAACTTTGGTCTTGCTAACTTGAGGGCTTAGTTCAGGAGAGTCTTCATCAGGTTTATGAGCCATTTTACTATCTCAGTTTTAGAACTGGTTACAAGAAATTATTAAACATGCTCCTATGGGACTGTTGCTCAAAATTTAGCAATACAAAATTGCTGCAAAAACTCTCTTCTCAGTGGGTGAATCTGAAAATTTAAATTTGAATCTGAGTCTATAAGATCTGTTTGTACTTATGCATCAAGTAGAACAGAAACTAACAAATCTAGATTTAGAAATAAGATGAGTGATTTTAAATGTTATAGGCCCTACTCCTGGTGGCTTATGGTTACAGTAGCCACAGTTCCAGTTTAGTAACAGTTTCATAATTTGATAAAATAGGAATAACCACTAGCATGTCACCTAGCAGCACAGAGGAAATGAATCCAAGCCATAACAAGGTTTGGATCTACTTGATGGTTATGGTTTTGTCTGACAAAAGTGTTTACAGAGAGATAAATAAAAATATAAATCTTGATAAATTTCCATTAGGCCTATTAATTTGCAGCAAAACAGCATCCATTTTTGTTGTTCTATGTGAGAAATTTTGCTTTTATTTTTTAATAAAGAAATAAATGAATTTTTATTATGCAATTCTGGTGGCATTCTCTGTATTATAAACTGAATAGCCTGATTTTTTTTTCCTCTACTAAGCAATAAAAATAAAACACTTGGGATCATTGTGAGTCCACATAAAAACTTAGACCAGTAAGGCCTATTACCACTCGTGCGACTTTGGCATTAAGTAACCAAACCAGGTTCTAGAGATGTAACCATCATTTCTTTTATAGAACAGCAATATTTTTAACAATGGGCCTACTTTTTTGTGAATATATCATTTAATATGTAGGTCAAACTGAAAAATAACAGCGGGAAATTTTGGACTGATATAAAATGTTATAAATAACGTTTAAACAAACAGTAGAAGAGAAAAAAAAAAGGATATTTTAATCATGCCTAAAGTAACATGGAAAAATTGGAATGCGTTTATGGCAAGCAGCTACATTATCACAAAATATGGACCCAAAATACAAAACCAACTTAAATAAAGTGTTTAAAAATTGAAGTCTGCATCAAAGTTGCTATATATTATACTAGGCATACTGCCTAGCTTCACTTAGGTTTTCGAACATCATTTGAGAATTTGAATACTTAATTATTTAGTGATGGCTGAGTGATGAACTTTAAACAGTAATGCCAATTTTAGAGAAAATGTTGTTGTTGTTTGTTGTCCGTTTTCAGAGAAAATATTGGAAAGTTCGCAATGTATCACTTAAGTAAAATGGAATTAGAACTACAGAGATTCCATGAACAGTATATCTCATAATTTATATTAAATTGACTTTTAATATTTATTTATTTAATTAGTTATTTAATAAGTTAATTTTTTACTAAAACAAATGCTATACTTCGTCATTTTCTGTTTATGTTTAAAATAGTATACAATTGTTTGAAAAATAACTATTTTAAAAAAGTTACCTCCCTTGAAAATTGAACGAATAACGAATGTCTTTGTTTACTTTTTTTTTAACAAACAGTTGCTAGGTTTATATAAGAAAATACGGTATCTGGACTTATTTAACGACAATAATGGCTTTTTCTACGGGAATAAAGTTTTTTTGTTACCCTCCAGGGTCGGTCTACAACCTCACAAAATATCAGGGGGAATCATTCGGCCTTTTTTTTATATAGCTGATTGTGATGACGCAAGATTACGTCAGACATGTTTAGCAGATATAGGTTAGCAGAAACAGACTATAGGCCTAGTTGGTTGGGTAGAGAGGCCAATGGGCACACAGGGCTGACCGGTCACGTGGGACGGTCAGCTGACCACTGAGGCGTGGGGCAGTAGAGCGATAGGCCAGGAGTTGTTAGGTAGCGGTCAGAGACGGCCGAGAATGTAGATAGTTAGGAGATCATGATTTGCTAGCGAAGGTAGAAGGTGTTAGATTGTAGAATGTAGAGAACAGTTAGTGTTAGGATTGGTCATGGGAGTGCGTAGTTAGTAGTATATGAACAGTCAGTAGTAGAAGTAAATAGTACAGTGTAGATCAGTTAGGTAGAAACTTGAACATATATATCATTTTAATAAAGAACAATTATAGTTGAACTTGAACTGTGTGTTATTGGATTCATTCGTGACGCCCTCTTAAACACCCCCACCCTCACAACTGGTGGAGCGCGGGTCGAGGACAGGAAAGAAAGTATATCAGCTACTCATGACGGAGTACATCTGGTGTACAGCTTTCTTCAACTCAACACAACAGCGGGTTTCTTCAACCGGAACGAGTGGATTACCAATACAAGGGAACAGTCACCATGTTCAAAAAGATAAGTACCTTCCATCATTTTTTTTAAACGTTTGGGTTTATACCCGTGCTGGATAGTTTGTGCCAGCGGTTTTTCTGCCTTACACATTCTATTGTTACGCACTGTTGCCTTAGTTATTTTGACTTTCCTCAACACACACACATACACATACACAACCATGGAGGCAGAGTTTCAATGCTATAAACAGGGCATACCATTAGACAAGAAAGAAGAAGAATTTGGAACATCTGTAGAGAATAAGTTAGAAAACAAGATAGTCAAGATAGTAAGACATGTCAAGAACAAAAGCAGAGTTAGCGTTAGAATTAGTAAAACGGAAAGTACAGCACATAGATAACAAGCAACTGCCTAGAACATCAACCCCATGACCAGGAATTTGACCCGGACCGTCTCCATAAATGATTTTGAACAACGGACAAAAGTGAAGTCAAGTCGAGTTTTTGTGTTGATCTAAGTAGTCGAGGAAATCGACGTGAAGTCGTACAGTCAGAAGTCAGTGTAGTCAAATCTGAAGTCAATTGTGTTATTGAAGTCAGTGAAGTATAAGTCAGAACTGAAGTCAAAGAAGTTATTTGAAGTGAGTTAAGTCAGTCAATAAGTTATTGAAGTCGTAGTTGAGGTCATAGTGACGTAGTTGAAGTCATGTTGCAGTCAAAGAAAAGTCTTTGAAGTTATATTAAAGTCGTTGAAGTCAAAGTGAAGTCTTTGAAGTCATATTGAAGTCGTTGAAGTCAAAGTGAAGTCTTTGAAGTCATATTGAAGTCTTTGAAGTCATATTGAAGTCGTTGAAGTCAAAGTGAATCTTTGAAGTCATATTGAAGTTGTTGAAGTCAAAGTGAATTATTTGAAGTCATATTGAAGTCGTTGAAGTCAAAGTGAAGTCTTTGAAGTCATATTGAAGTCGTTGAAGTCAAGGAAAAGTCTTTGAAGTCAAAGTGAAGACGTTTAAGTCGTCGAAGTTCAGGTCAGTCAGTGAAGTCCTTAAAGTTGAATTGAAGTTGAAGTCAGTCAGAGGTCTATGAAGTCAGTCGATTTAGTTGTCGCAGTGAAGTTAGTCTTCAAAGTGAAGTTAGTCGTCAAGTTGAAGTAATTGAAGTCGTCAAAGTGGAATCAGTCGTTAAATTGAAGTCAGTCGAGTTACTGAAGTCAAAGTGAAATAAGTGAAGTTACTGAAGTCAGTCAAAGTGAAATAAGTCAAGTTACTGAAGTCATAAGTGAAGTCAGTCATTAAGTCAAGCCAGTCAGTTTTTTGTCAGAAGTCACATAGTGAGAGCTGCTCCACTATATGATAACGTGTTCAAATGTTGATTTGAAACGGCACGATTATTTATATACACTTACATGTCTATTCTTTTTGTGAAGCTATTTCTAAGCTCTAGTAGTGTTTACGTCTATTGAGTTTATTAGGCTTTACAGATTGTTGTTAGATTAGAGTGTACTGATTTTTTTATTTTTGGTTATGTTGTTATGTTATTTTTTTATGTTTTTTATGCCGCCAGACAAATGTTCAGCACGTATAAATTTGGGATTGAGGTTTTTTTAATGGAAGGTACCTCTGTCTGAATACTTGTCTGCGCGGGCACTAAGATAGTCACGTAAAACCATTGCTCATGGTCTCGTAATACAATTTCAGACCCACTACGCTTATTCAGAATGAGACGAGATGAAGCAGACACTTCAAAGAATGCCGCCACCTGAAGCCCTGATTACGTTGAGTTACCTGGACAGCGAACAGCCCTGCCGAACAGCGAATTGCCCTGGTCAAGATAGCGGACGCATCGCCACCGCTTCGCCCCCGCACTGGAGTTGAATAACAGACCGCCAGCTACGTACACCCACGTCGGCACATACAAAGGGTAGAAGACCCATCGTCCAAGTTCCCAGCGTCGGAAAGTTACGTCATTGTTCGTCACCGCATCAGACAGCTCCAGTTCATCGTGTAACCACTCTACGTGGACGTCTCAACCAGCGTTGAGATGAGATTGTTGCGTCATCACATTGACCAACGAAAGTTACGCCTACACCCGCCTCACGGGAACTTACGTAGACCAACGCCACAACCCACCCACCACAGATAAACGCCAATAAGTACATAACACTTACACACACACACACTTACACTGCTCGTTGAGCCCGTTCAACCAGTTACACATTCTACTAAGATTAGCTCAAGGCCAGTACACGACAACCTAGCCAGAACTGAGTTACACATGATTGAATTCACACATTCCATAACATAGACATACATTATCAAGCAGAAACACCACAGACGTTAGGATACCTACACAAGAACGAAAACAATGACATTTTTTTCAGGAACACAGACACAAGATTTTATGTTTTTGTAAACTGTGCTGTCCCATTTTTTATTTGATTTATATGATTGATGTTAGGGATAGAATAGAGTAGTAAGATAGATAGTTGTTGATGTATTAGATTAGTAGTAGACGCTGAAAAATATAATTTGTCAGCTACAGAAAGGGAGGGAGATATGTGATGACGCAAGATTACGTCAGACATGTTTAGCAGATATAGGTTAGCAGAAACAGACTATAGGCCTAGTTGGTTGGGTAGAGAGGCCAATGGGCACACAGGGCTGACCGGTCACGTGGGACGGTCAGCTGACCACTGAGGCGTGGGGCAGTAGAGCGATAGGCCAGGAGTTGTTAGGTAGCGGTCAGAGACGGCCGAGAATGTAGATAGTTAGGAGATCATGATTTGCTAGCGAAGGTAGAAGGTGTTAGATTGTAGAATGTAGAGAACAGTTAGTGTTAGGATTGGTCATGGGAGTGCGTAGTTAGTAGTATATGAACAGTCAGTAGTAGAAGTAAATAGTACAGTGTAGATCAGTTAGGTAGAAACTTGAACATATATATCATTTTAATAAAGAACAATTATAGTTGAACTTGAACTGTGTGTTATTGGATTCATTCGTGACGCCCTCTTAAACACCCCCACCCTCACACTGATGTAAGGAGAATATCACTCATGGTCACTTTTTAGCCCTCGCCGTGCGAGCAGAGGCTGACCGATAGTTTATTCATAAGGCTGATTAATTTAGACAGCTCTATGCAAAACATGAGCCAGGTGTAGACAGTAGAGAGCCAAAGTTCCAAAACATTGTTTTGAAAATAGTCATCGTTTTCCCCCAAATTAACAATGTTTATATAGGGAATTCGGACCGGTCAGTTCTAAAGGCCTTCCCCCGCGGGTATTTCTACGACCTCAGGAGTAATGAATGGGTTTATACGTCCAGATTTTTTAATTAATTTTTTTTTCAAAAATGGTACTAAATTTATATAAGGAAATATGGCCTCTGGTCATTTAAAACATTGTTTCGGGGTTTTCCCGAGGGTAGCAATATTTTTTTTGCTGACTTCCAGGGGCCGATGTACAACCCCAAGAGCTTTCAAAGGGTTCCTACGTGGGAATTTTTGTTAGATTTATAGCTCATATAAGGAGAATTTCACTCGTGGACACTTTTTAACCCTCGCCCTGCGAGCAGAGGCTGACCGATAGTTTATCCATAAGGCTGATTCATTTACGCAGGTTTATGGGAAAAAAAGAGCCAGATGTACAGAGCCAACTTTCCAAAACACTGTTTTGAAAATAGTCATTGTTTTTTCACCAATTTAACAAAGTTTGTATAGGGAATTCGGACTGGTCAGTTCTAAAGGCCTTCCGAAGTATTTCTACGACTTGCCTTTGCTGCGATGTTTTTGATGGTACTGCGCAGAACCCTATCCCCAACCATATTCCTAGCCATAGGTCACTGCACATGCGCAGAACTATCTTTTGTCGAATAGGTGGATAGGTTGGGGCGAAAAATCTTTTTCCAAGTAGTCACTTGGTTTTAAAATTTCTAAACTTCATGAAATTCTTAATGGACACCAGCGAGAAAAGTCTCAAAGGTATTTGAGAGGTGCAATTGCATAAATTAATTTAAAAATCAGGCACGCCGTAGTCACAATTAATATGGTTATAAAATCCTGTCTGTATGGTTTTTTTCGGACTTTACTAAAGATTGGGTGTATTTGATGTTTTTAAAATTTTCGGTAACTAAATAAAAATTTAAAAAAAAGCAAAAACAATTTGGTTTTCACGTGTAATGGCGACATAAACAATGGCCGCCATAAATTTTATTGTACACATTGTAAGCTAAAAATAGAAAAAATAGGTCATGGTGTTTAAATTTGCATAGTTATTTAAAAACTTGATCTGCAAAGTTTTGTAAACAAAATAACTATAAAGTGGGGCTGTCAGAAATCGATCAAGGAGTTCCTTTACAGCCAATCAATGTGTGTCTTACGAAAGTGAAACATCGGGTTTTAACTTAGGCTTGATGAAAATAAATATTAAATAGAAATGTAGCCTTAAACTCAACAAATTATTTTCAAGTTCTCTGGATCTGCAACTTGTAATGTATAGCATTGATTCTAAAAATATTACATTTCTGAATTAATTTTAGACTTAAGTTTTTAATAAAATTTTATCTTTTATTAGTTTTATGGTCCTAAATCTAAAAAAGCACGTTTTTATTCCATGTCAACAACATTACGGAAGGAATCTTGTCAACTCGCTGGTGTCCATTCTCATCTCAAGAATCAAGATCTCTGGACTAAATTAAGATTTTAATGATAACATTAATATTTAATATAATAATAACAACTAGAATCTAGATATCTAGATCTAGACATCTTCGGATTCTATTAAACTGACAGTAAATTAATGGATTCTATATTAGGCTAAGCTTTTAATCCTTACAAAACAATGCGTCTTGTTAAATTCCTGGATGTAAGCTTTTTTTAGGCTAGGCCTACGATAAAACAAATAACACCAACGGACTGTTGCCTAGTTTTATTTTTAGATACCGAATTTCCGGCATTATTATTTTAACTTTATTTTCAAAAGAGTTCGAGGAGAGGCCGTATCCAGATTTAAATTTCATTTTGAAGCTTTGCGTGAGTTTGAGTCAGGTCTTTAACTCAAAAATCTAGGAACAGATTCAAAACTGAAGCTAAAAATAGCTTTTAATTTGTTTTCCAACCCATTTTTGCGACCCTAGAGTCGGCGCCCGGGGACATATGTACCCCCCACATTCACCCCCCCCCCCCCATTCGGCGGGGGAACATATGTTCCCGGGCGCCGAACTTAGGGGGCGCCAAAATGGGTTGGAAAAACAAATTGAAAGTTTGAGGGGGGTGCAAATCGAAGGGTCGCTACGCCTCTGCTGTCAAAAAATAGAGAATTTTGATCAGTTCCTATTAAAATTTATTAAAAACCGCTTTCTAAAACGCGAAATAACGGCTAAAACTCGTTTTCTAACATTGCTTTTTTATAATGCAAAGTGTGACGTCACACCATCTGAACACCCCCCCTCCCCCTTATCACACACCGTCACAAAATTATGGACCCCTCCCCCCTACGAGTGTGACCCCCTTATGGTAAGGCTCCACTGATTTTTTCGTTTTTAAATTTATTTATTTTTTTAAATAATTGAGCTTTAAAACAAAATGAATGTAAAAAAAATCAAATGTGTTTTTTTTTTCGTTTATTGTAACGCTTTGCAAGATGTCCACGGAGTTTATGACAGCTACAGATGGCTGGTAGCGTCCAAGTGTCGACAGCCACCACTCAGCACCTTGGTTTTGTGTACAGGTACTTCGCTCCAAACTTATTCTCCCACAGTTTGAAAGCGCTTACATAGCGAAAATTCTCTTCTGCCCAGTAGTCTGTAGAAAAACAAAGACCAAAATATTTGTTAGAAGTACAATGTGGTAGTGACGATTTGCTGTGTGGGGGAGGGGGGGGAGAGGTTAAGAAATATCCAACTTTTCTAAAGAAAAAAAAATAAGGTATGGTATTTGGAATGGGGTGTTTATCATTTACAGCTTTACGCCACCACTCCCTACAAACACAGGCCATCTTCCTACAAACACAAACCATGTACATCCAAACACAAACCATCTCCCTACAAACGAGTCATCTTACTGAACCAGTCTGCCCTCCTACGAACGTCGTACGACTCTTTAGGAAAACCGTACGGCATTTGGTCTTCACACATGACAGGCGCACACCTTGTGACGGTCGGGCGATACGGGTAGCTGTTGGGTAGCCCTGAGCAAAATGGCTGCATGGGGCTCTTGTCGTACCAGCTGCAAGAGACGGACAGTCGGTTTAGGGTACCGCCATTAGAGGGTGTTTGTTTTATGGTATCGTTATAGAAGGTGTTTAGCTGTTTATGGCACCGGAATGGAAAGTGACATGGGGGGGGGTACCGCTATGGAAGGTGGGTTTTTTTATGGTACCACTATGGAAGGTGTTTTCTTGTTTTATGGTACCGCTATGGAAGGTGTTTTTGTTGTATTATGGTACCGCTATGGTACCCATGACATGACACCTTTTGGGTTTGGAATAAACGCATTGTAGCTGTCAGTAAATGTAGCTGTCAGTAAACATGCCCCAAGTTCTAGCATAGCTAGTATAATTATTATTATGTCTGATTATCTCTGTCAGCGACAATGGGTGCCTATTTTAGCTTAAGATAAACTTGTAGGGAGGTTTGGAATTGATGCCCAAGACCAACCATGATGGACTTTATACCTTACACAAACGCACATTCTCTATCACACAAAGACCATAGCACACACTGACTTACAATAAAGGCAACGTTTTAGCACACCAAACTAACCCTAAATATTGAAGTGTCGTTTTTATCTACGTACCAAAACGAGCTAGTCAATATGGCCTATGTAATGTTTTTAGGGGGTGGGTGAGGGGGGGCTGATCATCTGGGGAGCCAGCTTAATTAATGATTGCAAAGAGGAAAAAATCCACTAATTGGCCCCAGCCACAACACGCCTGATAATGTGCAAGGGAATTTACTGATTATATCAGTTAGAAATATGTAGCCAATTGCCTTTTTTTTTAAATACAAAAGAGACACAGATTTTAATAAAAAAAACTGTATCAAGTCCATTTTTTTATAGGGACACTGTGGTCAGATGTAGAACACTTGACTGCTAGCCATAGGGTCAAAAGTTCAGATCTTGGTCTGGACTTGATTCCACCCAGCTCTGATGGGTACCTGACTTAGTTATATAAAGTAATGTGCGGCTAGGCATAGTGCTGGCCACTCCATTCCATTATATGGACTTGATTCCACCCAGCTCTGATGGGTACCTGACTTAGTTATATAAAGTAATGTGCGGCTAGGCATAGTGCTGGACACTCCATTCCATCATATACCAAGGTCAAGACACACTGCAGTAGGGTGGGACTAACTAAAAAGCCCACTCCTACTCAGTCAATTATTACCGCATCTATGGATACTTGCAATTTTGGATACGCTGGATACTCAGGTAGTATCCAGTCCTCGGGATGTTGACTCAGCGGCGGCAGCTGGCCATGGGCGTAGGTGGGTTTTCTGGGGCGTGTCCCGGGCTTCCTCATAGAGAAGATGTTGGGGATCTCGCTGCATGTTGGGAGGTAGCTGATCTTTCTGTCCATCATGACCCGCTGACCAGCGGGCGGTAGGTACGACATCTTGATGATAGAATCTCATTTAGTGATCGTGCACTATATATTGGACACGAATGTGTTAAGAGTGGTGTTATATCGTATACCGTATATATAACGGGCAAAGGTCATATGTAACACGCGGGAATAAACTAAGAAATACCTAACACAGAACAAGCCAAGAGTGACTGGGGGAAAGAGAAATAAATAATACAATTTTTAAAAATAATACAATGTTTTTTCAGATAGTAACATTTTATTTTGTATGTCCTTTGATGGTCTACTAAAGCAATGTTACACTTTTTACATTTTATGTTTCCAAATTTTGCTAATTATTGTAATTGTAAATTCAATAAGCTAACATTAAGGACAAATACTGCTCACATAATCTTTTCAAATATAGTATAAGGTCTAATTCCCGTTTTTTGAGACAAAGGTAGCAATGTTTTTTTTTTAATATTGTAATAGCCGTTATATACTTGTATATGTGTATAGTCACCACTATATTTACTACCATAAGTTGTTTATTTTGTCGATTAGCCATACCATACTTGGATTAGGACACGTATCGTGTATATTATTATGAATGCAATAATTACAGTTTGATGTATCGTACACGACAGCAGGTGATCACTCCCCATGTTAAGCAACTAAGGTACTGTTAGTGCTAAGGTTAGCCTTAGGAAATACTCTTGATGTACGATTCAAATAAGCTTACTCCACACCCTCCATATAGCCCAGCTTGACAGTTTATAGACTGCCTAGGCAACGTACAAAATATGGTGTGTTGCACGCTCCGGCAACACATTTTTAATGCGTGTTCCCACTTTTCTGTTCCGTGTATGGTATCAAGGGGGGGGGGGAGAAGAATTTTAATGTAGGAAAATTGACTTGGGGGAATGTTCTAATTAGATCCCTAGTAATCCAGATAATTATAGTATAGAAAAATATAGAGTCTAGGTATGGCTTGTCAATAAATAAAAAATATTTTTGAGAATGAAAAATGTACTTCTTCTATGATCACCGATAGGACAGTAGAGTATTGCATTTAGAATAAGATCCAAGGTAAGGTTACAATATAAGCTAAAAGTAACGGCCTGATGTTAATTGTAGATGTGCTAAAAAAAAGCTACCTTGTAATATTTTTGGTAAGTTTCCGGAAATGCAGCTTATGTCTAGACGATTCTGAATTTTTTATTTTTTGTTGCGATGAACATTTCTGGTGAGTACTGGAAATTCCCAAATCTTCTGAAAGTTGAGTGCATTGTAATGTAAAGATGGTGATGCAGTCGAAATAATGTCACGTTTTAATGAGTTCTTACAAGCTCTACATGTCTAGTTCGGTTTAGTTACAACGTATGCCTGACGGGGTTAGACAACTTGAGTGAAGAAAACAAGGTCCACCAATTGGGGATACAACTTGAGTGAAGAAAACAAGGTCCACCAATGGGGGATACAACTTGAGTGAAGAAAACAAGGTCCACCAATTGGGGATACAACTTGAGTGAAGAAAACAAGGTCCACTAAAGGGGGATACAACTTGAGTGAAGAAAACAAGGTCCACCAATTGGGGATACAACTTGAGTGAAGAAAACAAGGTCCACCAATTGGGGATACAACTTGAGTGAAGAAAACAAGGTCCACCAATTGGGGATACAACTTGAGTGAAGAAAACAAGGTCCACCAATTGGGGATACAACTTGAGTGAAGAAAACAAGGTCCACTAAAGGGGGAGACAACTTGAGTGAAGAAAACAAGGTCCACCAATTGAGGAGACAACTTGAGTGAAGAAAACAAGGTCCACCAATGGGGGATACAACTTGAGTGAAGAAAACAAGGTCCACCAATTGAGGAGACAACTTGAGTGAAGAAAACAAGGTCCACCAATTGGGGATACAACTTGAGTGAAGAAAACAAGGTCCACCAATTGAGGATACAACTTGAGTGAAGAAAACAAGGTCCACCAATTGGGGATACAACTTGAGTGAAGAAAACAAGGTCCACCAATTGAGGATACAACTTGAGTGAAGAAAACAAGGTCCACCAATTGGGGATACAACTTGAGTGAAGAAAACAAGGTCCACCAATTGAGGATACAACTTGAGTGAAGAAAACAAGGTCCACCAATTGGGGATACAACTTGAGTGAAGAAAACAAGGTCCACCAATTGGGGATACAACTTGAGTGAAGAAAACAAGGTCCACTAAAGGGGGAGACAACTTGAGTGAAGAAAACAAGGTCCACTAAAGGGGGAGACAACTTGAGTGAAGAAAACAAGGTCCACCAATGGGGGATACAACTTGAGTGAAGAAAACAAGGTCCACCAATGGGGGATACAACTTGAGTGAAGAAAACAAGGTCCACCAATTGAGGAGACAACTTGAGTGAAGAAAACAAGGTCCACCAATTGGGGATACAACTTGAGTGAAGAGAACAAGGTCCACCAATTGGGGATACAACTTGAGTGAAGAAAACAAGGTCCACCAATGGGGGATACAACTTGAGTGAAGAAAACAAGGTCCACCAATTGAGGAGACAACTTGAGTGAAGAAAACAAGGTCCACCAATTGGGGATACAACTTGAGTGAAGAAAACAAGGTCCACTATAGGGGGATACAACTTGAGTGAAGAAAACAAGGTCCACCAATTGGGGATACAACTTGAGTGAAGAAAACAAGGTCCACCAATTGGGGATACAACTTGAGTGAAGAAAACAAGGTCCACCAATTGGGGATACAACTTGAGTGAAGAAAACAAGGTCCACCAACCAATTGGGGATACAACTTGAGTGAAGAAAACAAGGTCCACTGATTGGGGATACAACTTGAGTGAAGAAAACAAGGTCCACCAATTGGGGATACAACTTGAGTGAAGAAAACAAGGTCCACCAATTGAGGATACAACTTGAGTGAAGAAAACAAGGTCCACTAATGGGGAGACAACTTGAGTGAAGAAAACAAGGTCAACTAATGGGGGAGACAACTTGAGTGAAGAAAACAAGGTCCACCAATTGGGGATACAACTTGAGTGAAGAAAACAAGGTCCACCAATTGAGGATACAACTTGAGTGAAGAAAACAAGGTCCACCAATTGGGGATACAACTTGAGTGAAGAAAACAAGGTCCACCAATTGAGGATACAACTTGAGTGAAGAAAACAAGGTCCACCAATTGGGGATACAACTTGAGTGAAGAAAACAAGGTCCACCAATTGAGGATACAACTTGAGTGAAGAAAACAAGGTCCACCAATTGGGGATACAACTTGAGTGAAGAAAACAAGGTCCATCGATGGGGGAGACAAATTAAATAAGACTTGTGGAAAAAAGGTGAAATGGGGGGGGGGGGGGACAAATTCTAGTGATTGGGGAGCCGGCTTAATAAATGAAAGCAGAGAGGAAAGAATCCACTAATTGGCCCCAGCCACAACACGCCTGATAATGTGCAAGGGAATTTACTGATAATATCAGTTATAAATATATAGCCAATTGCCTTTTTTTAAAAACAAAAGACACAGATTTTAATTAGAAAACTGTATCAAGTCCATTTGTTTGTATATGTAAATGGGTATGGGACACTGTGGTCAGAGGTAGAACACTTGACTGCTAGCCATAGGGTCAAAAGTTCAGATCTTGGTCTGGACTTGATTCCACCCAGCTCTGATGGGTACCTGACTTAGTTATAGAAAGTAATGATGTGGCTAGGCATAGTGTGGCCACTCCATTCCATCATATGGACTTGATTCCACCCAGCCTTGATGGGCACCTGACTCAGTTATAGAAAGTAATGTGGCCAGGCATAGTGTGGCCACTCCATTCCATCATATGGACTTGATTCCACCCAGCTCTGATGGGTACCTGACTTAGTTATATAAAGTAATGTGCGGCTAGGCATAGTGCTGGCCACTCCATTCCATTATATACCAAGGTCAAGACACATAAACTTCATCTGCCCGATGTATTGTTAGGTCTACTCATATATAGAAGTATGACGAAGGAACAAATATTAAACAAAAGAAATAATTCTAAAAAATATAAAACCTGACTGTTTTATTAAAGTAAAGCCAATCTGTTGAACACTTACTTGCTGTTTTAAGACTGACAGTAGTATATTTGAGTTAGTAGTTATTAATTATTGTACAAATGTAGCATGAAGTCAATAAGCTACGTAAAACACAAATAATTATTTCATATAAATTATACTTAAGAAAGGCCATAAGGTCCTCTGTTTTAGCTATAAAGATTTTCTACTGCAGCAACTGTAGTGTGAAGTCTATACATATTAACACTTGGATGGTATGTCTTGGATAAAAATAGATTAACAATGCTACATTAACTAGCAAATAGTACACACATTTTAAATGCAGTCACATATATCGAATTGAAAATGTGGAACTGAAAATAAAAGAAACAATTATTTTTAAGGTGATATATATAGACTACTCATAATGCTGAAGTAGCAAAAAAAGCTTGTATTATATTTAGTCGGTTACTTATGGCTAACCCATTCAGCTGAGCAGCGGCGTGCCTATCTCAGTTTTAGACATAGAAAAGGAATGTTCTATTCACAATTAGAATAGGTAAAAATTAAGAAAGAAGATAATGAAATACATTGAAATAAAATAATCTACTTGAAAACACTCTAGTTTTACATTTTTATATTTAACATTTGGTTTAATAGTTTTGATTAAGCACAACCAAATTTCATTTAGAACTTGTTGTGTTCTTATAAAATGATATCTTATAAAATAATACAAATTTTGACACAAAATCAATCACTAACAGCCTTGATTACATCTGGGGGACATACTTAAAAACAATAAAAAGCAAAAAGTAGGTTTCAAAAACAGATTTTTAAAAAATATACCCATAACTAGCACACAGTTTAAAATACAAAAACTTGAGACCTATTGCCAAAAATATGTTATCTCTTTATAAAACAAACTGTAAAAAATTTTAATCTAGATTTTCACAAGATTAAGTAATAATTAATATTTATACAATAAAGCTGAGAAAATACATGACAAAAAATTATCTAAAAAATTTAGTTATTTACAGGAGAACTCTAAAGAGAAGGTGCTAGAAATAGATTCAGAAAAAAAACTTTGAAGACCCTGTTATAATGAGATCAATAAATGAGATGGTTACTCCTGAATATCATTTCATTAACATATATCTTGATAAATGGTGAATTTTGATTTAAATTAACATAGATCTAGAAAAAAATCATAGCTTTGATTTTTTTAAAAACATAGATCTAGATGAAATAGTGGATTTGATTTAAAATTAAACTTGATCTGGATGAAATAGTGTATTTGATTTAAACTTAATATGGATCTATATAAATATTGGACTGGATTTCAATTAACAGACCTAGATTTAACAATGGATCTTATTTAAAACCAACACAGATCTAAGTAAAATCATGGACTTGATTTAAAATTAACAAGCTTCTAGTTAAAATCATAGATTTGAATTAAAATCAACATAGACCTAAATAAAAATATTGGACTGGATTTCAAATTTACATTATTGGTGTCCACTTGAAAATAATTCTGAGTGAATATGAATAAATAGGATTTCTTAGTTAACTGTTAAAAGCAGACAGACACATTAGGACACTGTCAATGCTAAGTGGCAATACTGTACTGCACAATAGGGAAGAAACAAATTATCATCTGTGAATCATTATAAAAACTCTGTCAAGCTACACAGGAAATTATCTAACTTATCTAAAACAAAATAATCAAAACCAAAAAAAAGTTGTATATTACAACATGATTGCAAGTTCACATTTTCTCAACAAAGTTAAAGAACCTTCAAGCAAAACAAGAAAATATCTGAGAATTCTGAAACAAATGTTTCGCTAGTGTGTCTGCTACAATAAAAAACAAAGCAATCAGTCATTCAAGACAATATTCATACAATTATTGAGTAGGCAAAGGAGATAATTGCTGAGATTTGGTTAAATGCAATGATCTCATACTGGCAACAGAAATAACATCTTTTAATAGCAGGTTAAAAAGAGATGTATTACAGCAACTACTTGATTTAAGGAGGGAGTGGGGGGGAAGACAGAAGCGGTTTATTTACACACTGCTGAGGTTAAATTATTTGTTTCAGGCAAAATTTGAGTGTTTAACCCTGAGTGTCCAAAAAGTAGAACATCTCCTGTCACTACTGCTGGCCACAAAATGCAGCAGAGTTACCTGTCTTATTTTTAACATGAATGGAGGATCCAGAAGCTCAATAAAATTAAACTTAATTTCACCCTAAAATACAAGAGCAAATCATGTGACAAATTATTGCTGGTTTATGGTAGCTTTTAGAAAATTATAATATTTTTGTGTGCTAATTACCTAGAATATGTCTCTATTTGTTTAGTTTTACATATAGGATATAGAAAACAATTTCTTTTTTGCAATAAATTGAAAGCTCAAAAAGAAAATTAAATCATGAAATAGGACAAGAGTTGAAGTATAAATTATAACACAGATACTAGCTTTACAAATAAAATTCATGGACAAAGTGTATAATTGGTGTAAACAATTTGATTTCAATAACTTGATCAAAATGAGCTATTGTCTAAATTTTACATTGAAATTAACAAATAAATAAAGCTTAAGTACTAACACTAACAGATTTGATTTTTTCTTGTTTTAATGTACATACAATTTACGGCAGGCTGCTTACATATTCAGTTATTTTAACTTTCCACCTGCTAAATACAAGTACAGTTCTAACCTTTATACACCAAATTAACACCAATTATCACTTAAAATGTTACTTAATTATTAAATAAAATAAATTGATCTTTCTACTTACTGGTACAAGTAACAATATTTTTTTATCGTAAATAACTGAAAACTCAATAAAACATCAACAGCTATATAGACTAATTAGAGCACCCAACCACTTCACCACACTAATTTAATTAGTACACCCAGCCACTTCACTACACTAATTAGTGCACCCAGCCACTTCACTACACTAATTAGTGCACCCAGCTACTTCACTACACTAATTAGTGCACCTAACCACTTTACACTAATTAGTGCACTAGCCACTTCAATACACTAATTACATTACACTTAAGAGTGCACCCACCCTTCACATACAACTAAAGATTACACCGCCCACCACACTATGACTATTCGTGCACCACCCATCATATTAATTAATTAATGGTGTGCACCTACCCATCAAACTACATTAAATTTGACATCCCCGTACCACACCATACTAATTAATGGTATGCACATTACACTAATTAACACACCCATCCACCACAATGTTATCATCATAGGCTTTAAATAAATATCTAAGTATGTACACACAAGCAACTGTATGTGTAGTCGTCCTGTACAATGGGAATCACATATATTAGCACACCATGTTATAGCTATAACAAAAAGCAGTAGTAAATGATATACTTAATACTTTAAAAAATATCCATACAAAAACTTAGTAATGAGCTCAATGATAGAAATAAAGCTTGCCTCACTAATCTGATAAAAGAGGCTCGTTATCTTGATAGTTTTGTGTTGTTTTATTTTCATTCTACATTTGTATACACCTTTAGCAGATGGTCTAACTACCTCAACCATACATGTATACAACTAAGACAGTATAGTCTAACCAGCCCAACCACTCCTGTATACAGTGAAGACAATATGGTCTAACCACCCCAGCCACTCCTGTATATAACTAAGACAAACATTAAGATTGACTACTACAGATATACTTAAAGTTTGATATGCAAACCTCCTGGTATGAAAACTATCACTGTCCTACTCTTTAAGTCCAACTTCTGACACTAGTGCCCAAGCCCACAATGTTGAACCCAAGGTAATTGGTAGTGGGTGGATAGACTATCTGCTACAAGATATCCTTAAGATAACAATTATTTTAGTGTAAACTTATGAATATATGTAACTATTTTTTGTTACTTTCACGTGACTCTATAAAAGCTGCTTTACTTTACTGATTAATGTTAGTTGATGTGTTTTGTTGCATTACATGTTTAAAATGTATTTTGAAAAGTTTTGGCTCAGTTTGCTCCCTTACATGGTCCAAGCTCACCCCACACATTCCTCCTCAAAATACTCCGGTAAAGGCTTGGTGACTTCATCGTACTTAGGTGGCAGCACCATAGCTGTAGTCTGGTCTATATCATCCTCGGGCTGCTCCATGTAGGGGGGAGCACTGGACCCGTGGATGGGGTGGAGCACTATGGAAATGACAGAATCATACGCTGGGGGTGGCTCTACCATGGCCTCACTGGCCCCAAGCTGGTCCAGGGATGGGCTGTAGATCACTGAAACACGGTCACAGAATAGTTAGATGACAAAATTCAAATTATTTAATGAAAATTTCAAAAAATTTTGCAAACACTATGACATGGTTGTGCTATAAAAGATAATGTATACTGAATGCAAATTCTTGATAACAATACCAGACATCCCAAAAGTAGAATCTTAATGAAATCATTTTAGGGCACTAAACTACTAATTTAAAACATTGGCATCAATACTAGTGCTATTTTTTAGGATGCCACCCCCCTCCCCACCATGACTATATATAAATGTAGCCTCTATTTATCTATATATCTATCTATATATATATATACATATATACGGTACTTTCGTTTTTTAAGTCTGAGTGTTCAGGTCTGTAAATGGTTAGAAGTAAAATTTTACACTTTCTAACTGTTATTGGAATGTATGTCATACATATACTATTTAAAACTGATACTATCATTGGAACATTGAATTAACAGATAGATATTTCAGTAAAGCTAGATCCAAAAGAATGTAAAGTTTCAAATCAATAAGCATATTGATTTTTGTGTTGTGGCCATGTTTTACTTTGAGATGAACTATTTTCTTTATTTATGCTTTCTATTTATAACACAGATATGAATACATGGGTGGGGCTGACACATTTTAAGAAGGGCTTTGGGTATGCTGCAAAATTTATTTTACACAACTTCAAATTCGGTTATAACTAGTAGCTCCTAACTTTTAATTTTAATTATGTTTAATGTAACTAGTCAATGATTAATAGCATTCAATTTTTTTTTGGCTTATGGGTCAATTTGTTGTATGTTCTGTTCATTGCCTCTATTTTTTAGACCCAAGTGTCTAAAAGCTTCTTTTTAAACATGTTTAAAGTTTTTTTTTATATAAAGGGTGAGGAGGGTCATTTCTATTTTCAACAATAATTGTAGAAATAAGCTATTTATTGCTGATGATAACTTAATATTATTTCACTGGATTTTTTGTTGACCTACAATATACATGTATGTAAATGTCTGGTGCTCTTGATTTTTTTTTTTACTTTCCTTGATCATTAAGCAACCAAACTATGACTTTTTACTTTAAAACTTGATAAAAATCCCCCTAAACTTAGAATGTTGATGCTGACTTAGTTTTTTGTCTTAAGAGTTGTCATCAAATGACTAGAAGTAGTTGTAACAATACCAGAACAGGTGTGAAAGTACTGTGATGCTGGAATCAAATGACTAGAAGTAGTTGTAACATTACCAGAACAGGTGTGAAAGCACTGGGATGCTGGAATTGTGTCACGTCCTTGACATCTAAGCCACTTGCGTGAAATAAGAAGTCTTCCAAGAATTATAGTTCCAACAAGGATGATTATACCAAATACTGAAAATTAAGGCATTAAAATAAAAAAATAGAAATTTACGAATAATTATAATAACTAATGCGTGTATAATTATTATGAAATTTTTAGGTATGGTTATGTTAGTCAATGACTCACCAATCCCCATCACACAAAACATGACATCAATATGTCAATGACTCACCAATCCCCATCACACACAACATGACATCAATTTGTCAATGACTCACCAATACCCATCACACACAACATGACAGTAATAGGCTGCTGCTTGCCAACAGCTTCAGCAATAAAAACAGTGCCGAGCACCAGCATAACGAGCCCAACAAAGCCAGCACATGTGAAGCCAATCATCATTTGACGCCATAGTCTCGGACCATCTGCCAGGTCTTTGTGAACATTCCGACATGAGGAGAGTACCCTCTGTTGCTGGGCAACATATTCAGCGTACGGCCGTGACTGGGGGCGGGGAGTTACAGGAGACCTAGAGCTGGTGTTTCCTGAAATATTTTAAATGTACTTTAGATGATAGAAAGGTATTTCTAACTAAAGCTTGTCATTTAGTGAATTAACAATCAGTTTAAATAAAGAGATGGCATGGAGAGACCACAATATCCATTTATAATCCAAGGTCCCAGAAAAAAGTGAACTCTACTTCATTTGTGCTATCGGTAGAGCGCATGACTTCTAACCCAAAGAAGTTGAGCACCTGTCCCTGACTTGAGTAATTAGAATGTCCCTAGGTCCACCAAACTCTAATGGGTACTTAATCAAGGGAAAATCAGGGTGGCTGGGCATAGAACTGACCACAATATATTATCCATCTAGATGCCAAGGTAAGAAAAATAGGTGAAATCTCAGGTTCGAAACAATAAAAAAATAAAAAGTTTAGTGTGTAATCAATCAAAAATAGTTCTTGATATCAAACCTTAAAGACTAGATTCATATGGCATCTTATATGAGGAAATTAAAAACTGAATATTGTACCAACCACACAATTTCAAATTTGATATCAATAAAGTAAAAACAAGACTTACTGATGATCATTTGGTAACAACAAGCATTCCTTCAATAATCAATTTAATACATTTTTAAACAAAAAATCTTTGCAATAGTTTCAAAACTAGAACAAAACTAACCACTTTGGTGACCAAAGGCTGAAGTAGATCCTGTTGGAAGGTGCATTTTACAGACTCTAAAATGTAACACTGTTAGAGCACTGTGCTGAAAGTAGAAAATAAATTTAAATGTTGAGGACAAGTTATGATGGAAGAGAGGTGCAGTGGTTTACTGATAGACAAATGATTAATGATCAAACCATGACATAAGTACAGCAGCTACATATTTATCATAATAAAATGTATGTATTTTTTGTATTCATATTTCAACAGGAAAAGAAACAGCATATATAAGATCTCATTTATAAAATACGGTAAGCCTAATGGCCAAATTTGTATGTAGCATAGCAAACGACACAAACATAAGACATTGCTTTTCTATGCTCAGGTGGTTCAGGTTCTGAAATGCGATCATAAAAATCTTAACGTGAGGGGGGGGGGGGGGTTGACTTTTTAACTACTTGTGATGGTGGAGAGGGTGAGAAAGTTAAAAAAATAAAATTGTTTTATATTCTTCATAAAAGTGCATACATAAAACCTTGTTATTAAAAGCTTTTCGATTAATTTTAATAATATAAAACTAAATATAATACTAAAAAAATTATAGTCTTACTGCTATACCATCATACAGGAAATGTGTAATCTCAGTATAAAATAAATAAGTTAGGCTAATTAACTAATAAATATCCATTATGATATGAAGGGAGTTTGTTTTGGTTAAGGCACGACACACAACACTGTATGTGTGCAGTATGTGGCCTGACCGACTGAAAAGAGGGAGTTTATATTAATATTATTGTTTTGAGTTTATATTAAACTCAATGCAACAAGCCCCACGGTTGATTGAAGCAGGCCGGGGAGACAGGGATTCAAAGGGGCGACTCGAAATATCATCAGATCTACGCTAGTGGACCAATGAATCAAAGTGATTTTAATTTTATTTTAGTCTCTTGGGAACTCCTCTACACACACTACTAGATTTCTAGATCTACTACTCTACTGAGTACTGACTGAACCTACTCTCTTCGCCTACTGCTACTCAGTTCAGTACTTACAGTACTACTCAGTACCTCAGTGGTCAGTGAGTCAGTAGTAGTACAGTACGTAGTAAGAACTTAGATCTAGATCTAGAATTAGATAATCTAGTAGATCTACGTACGTAGTTCAAGTTACGTACGTACTAGCGAGGCTCACTAACTTTAAAGCGTCCTTGGTTGCTAACCAGAACATGGCTACCTCACCTGGGCCTACGATTGGGCAATTTTTACTGCTTTGTTCGAGAGACCACCTTAACATTAAGTTTAAAAATAATTATCACGCGAAAAATGGCGTTTTTTTCGCGTATTTTAAGCTATCTGAAGATGACAAAGCTATTTTTGGCAGATTTTTTTTTTTTAAATTTGCTTCCGACCATGGAGGTCAAGCGGAAACATGGGTATAGTTTGAGTTGTTTAAAAACTTTAAATAAAGGACTGTTACGTGTCTAAATGGCACTGTAAGGTAGAGTATTATTAGATTGATCGTTTAGTGAAAAAATATTGTAATTATTTTGAATCCATTTTAAGAAATCGGCAGCCAAAAAAGGTCACTGAAAGCACGTAATTTTTTATTGTGACGTCATCGCTATTGTTACGGAAGCTGTACAGTAGTATTCTCTCGCTGCTTATATATTATATAATTGTATTCTTTTCACTTGACACTCTTTTTCAGCTTATTTTGCTAGCGTAATTAGACTAATTAAGCCTAATTATGGATATTTCACCTGGCTTTTGGATTATACTAAGACTCTAAAAGCCCTTAGCCTTAAACCACAACGATCTGTTTTTTTTTTTTTTTTAAATTTTGTGTTGATCCCTGGGGAATTTGTAGTGAGCGTTGGTCTTTGTGTGCTTATTTAGGCCTAATTATTTGTTTTCAAATTTGTTATAGCTTAATTAATTTGTCTTAATTCTTATTGATTTCATAAATTTTAATTAGGTTAATTATAATATTATTTTCACTGGTCTTCGTTGATACATTTATTAGGCTTAGTAATGTTTATATTATATAAATATATTTATCAGGGGCGTAGCGAGGGGGCGGGGGTGCGGACCGCACCGGGTGACACCATTTAGGGGGGGGGGGTGACACCAAGGCAAAAAATAGCAAAATATATAGAGAAAAACTTGAGGGGGGATGCAAATCGAAAAATTGAGGGGGGGGGGGGGTGCTAATCGAAAATTTGTCCCCGGGAAGGGTCGCTACGCCTCTGGGGGGGGGGGGTGACACCATTAAGTGCCGCACCGGGTGACACCCGACCTCGCTACGCCACTGATATTTATATATTTTATTATATATTATTAAGATTTTAGAGGCCTGATAAATTAAATGATTTTAGCGTTGAGTCTAGGTTTACATTACTAATTAGTACTTAGTAAACCAAGTACGCATGGACTAGGACATGTGTGTGCTGTGCCGGCGGCGTTGTGGCGGGCGATGCCTCTCGCGCTGACAAACCAGCGCGAGCGAGCGAGTCGTGTGTCACACTTGGCCTGTGTCGATGTTTGGAATGCATAGGCATAGGCCTAATTCTCCTCTCGGGTGATTAATTTTTATGCGCTGACATTTGAAAAATCAAATAGACACACATCTTAATTAAATACATTTAATTTGAACTTTATATTAATCTAGACCTATAATACTAATTAGGGCCTATAACTTGGGATAACAAAGTACTTGGACTAGATTTAGCACATGCGCACACTGTGCTGTGAGTTTTCTCTCGCTGGTTGACAAAAGAACGCAGGCGGGCTAGCGATGTTTGTAATTTGCATATATCTTCGCTCACAGGCGATCATTTTAATGCGATTGGCCTCTTTTTATTTTATAGGCCTAATTAATTGTATTTGATAGGCTAACTTTTCTGGTTGACAAAACTAAGCGAGCGAGATGTCTGTCACGCGCACTGCCCGTGACGCTGTTTAGAATGTATTTCTCGCTAACTTGATGAATTTGAATGCTATTGCAGTGTTTTTTAAAATAAATCAAATACTTACAAATCTTTACATTTTAAACTGAGCATAGACAAAACTTTGTAAATAACACACCTGTCCCAAGTGAAGTGAGAGAAGAGGGTTAGATTAATTTTACAATGACATCGCTATATTTTATGAATTGCCCTAATTAAGCATTGCTAAAACACTTACACTAGTTAATAAAACATGCATGGGATTGAATATCTTTAAAAAGATTAGATCTATACTAACTATATATTCTTGAACATGTTGTTCATTAATTTGAATTTAGTTTTCCTTTTTAAACACCCTTCCATTTAAAAAAAAATTAAACAAAAATATTTAAAAATTCTAGATCTAATTCCATTATGTGATTTTTTATTCTGACGAAGACAGTGTCCATACGAATAGAAATGTGGTAATAAAATCAAATGTACTGTGCATATTCTGCTAAAATCAAATCAGCTGCAAGGTCAAACCTGCAGAGTTCGTCTCTTCAGAAAAGTAATGGCGATCTGGTTGTCACGGATTATTTGGCTTGCAATGCTTGGAGTGGCCAATTAATAAAAATCAGTAATTAAGCTCCAAATGAGTTTATTTTCAACAAATTAAGTATTTGATTGATTAGAGATTGATCTCTAGTTTCCATTGGTAATGTTTAAATCGAAAAATAACGAAATTTAAAATTAGTGAGTATCTCTAGTACGTACTGCTGCTACTCCAAACTCCCAAAATAAAAAAATTATATTTCATCCTAAGTTTGCAACTGAACCTATGAAAATATGAAATAAACATCTAGAAGGCCGCGATGTAGATCTAGTTAACAAATTTTAAATGACTGTTACAAGCGTTTTTTTACTTATAATATAATACCTGTTTACTAAACTATTTCCATTTCCAGCTTAGCTACTCCATTTTTTTTTTTATTTTTCTACTTTCGATTCTGAGAATATTTCAACGTTATTTTATTACATCGCTGTTTTAATAGGCCTACTAATAATAATTTTAGGCAACTTAGGCCTAAGTGTGTCACTGTTTTTTAAATTAAGTCGATCATTTTTCGGTATTGTTAATAAAATATATGTGTGTCCATTTGTATTAGTTCGTATGTTAAAATTCATAATTGTCTGTTAATTATTTTATAGATTCTAGATCTAGATTCTAGAAATCTATGTACAGATTTAAGTTTATTGGTGAAGGGCGGTAAGGGCCGAATAAGCTAACCATTGCAGTAGTTATAGAAATGAATCAATGTTTTTAGTTTGCATTACTTTAAAAATATTTTGGTTTAAAGATAGATCTAGTACATGTTTTGCATGAGAATTTTCTAACGTTTGGAAATTATTTCTCTTAAAAGATTTTTCTTGAAAAATCCCCCCCCCCCCCTCTTTTTCTACAAAGAATTCTCCACCCTTCGATAACATCCGCTTCCGGTTTTACGTCATGTTTATTATCAAAACAAATATCTAGATTCTCGATCATACTGAGACGTAACATACAGATTACATTACAATACGAACATTAGCATATGACTGTTATTAGTAAACTGAGCCATAAATTGCCTTGCTAGTATTATAAGTTTAAAAAGATGTCACTGAACAGCTCTCATGCTCAAGGAGGAGTTTTGATCTACTCTGGTGAAAGGTGAGATTCGGAACAGCTATTGGTAATAGGTTAGGCTTTTTGATGAGAATTACAGAATGATTTTTTTATTAAAAATGTATCAATAATAGCTTGCACACTAGTAAACTAAGCCAATTTAGCATATTTTAACTTTCTGTGCAAAGTCATTATTACTGAAAAAAATTCCAAAGTCAGGTCAGCCTGTGGCACCCTCCACTGAACATGACAGAAGGAAAAAAAAACTTGACCCGTGACCTTCATTAAAACAGAATTTGCTTTTGTTTTTTTTTTTGCATTTTTAGTAAATATGTGCTTAATATTACCCAATAAGTGATAAAAATTTGAAAATTAATTTTAATTACTGTTGTAAAGTGAGATAAACAGCTTAATAAACACGTGTTTTCTTGAGGGGGTGTGGCACATCCCGACATCGCATTGTTTGTAACTTTATATTTGTGTTTTATGACTATATTTGTTCACAATCAGCATGCTATGTTTTTAATTTTGATAAAGGGTAAGTATACCAAGTTACAAAACCTGAAATCTAACTAATAATTCATACTTTCAGTTTAAAAAAATAATGAAAACGATCATCAATGAAGAAAGCGTAAACATTCTATTTTTAGGTGTGACATAAAAAACAGTCATAAATCTAGCCGAATGATTGGATTCTTGCGCGTCACACATTTTCCCGCGCTTCGTGTTCACCAAAAAAGATTATAATAAAATGGCATTATTATTCTTACAGAGCATATCTCATGCCTACCATAAATTATTACCAGTTTATTGTAACGTGTGTAAAATTAATGCTTTCAAGTAAAAAATAGCAATAGTCTGGTTAAAAATACCTGCGGTATTTTATAGTTATTTGATTCGAAAGATAAGAATTATATAGAGCTACTTTCACTAAGGCGCCGCTTGCGAGACAAACATAGAAATTAGGCCAAAAGTAGATCCGACAATTCTTAAATAACAGACTTAAATAGAAACGGATAGTTCCGATTTCTTAAATTAACGATGGCTTCGTAATCATTAGTTATATCGCTCTACCCATTAGTGAAAGCGAAACTGGTCGCCATTTTTGATAAGCGCATGAGCCGTGAGATGGCTTCAAAACAACAAACCCGGAAGCTGTGAATTCGAACGGCCTATAATAGGTTGAATTATGGATTTTTTAAAATAAAATATTCTGTTATTTTAAATACACCATTAACTTCCTTACCCCTTAAGAGAACATTTGACACCACATTTAAATATCTAGCTTACTCGGTTGACGAGAAAAGAGAGAATTTGAAAATTAATCAAAAATGGAAAATGAATGACAAAGCAGCGTTCTTGGTCCTCGACCGGCATAACATGACGTCGTCGACTTGTGTACACGAGCTTTTAATTCCCGCCATGGTAATTGCGTCAGCTTAGGTAATTTACTCACCGGAAAATAACAAAAAGTAACTGGTTGATTTGATAATAAAACTAGATCTAGTTATTTTATTATTTATTAAATTCTAATCTACATGTTATTCATACCATTTTATGCAATAATGAACACCTGCATAAATCAAATGACCATAATAAATATTTTTATTTCAAATTCTAATTTTAAAGAATAAATATGCTTAAAATGATATTATAGTTTATAAATACAAATACATTTTATTTTACACTCAATTCACATTATATTGAGTCAACAGTGTGGCAGCTGAGGTTCATACATGGTATTAGTGTCTTTTTTTTTTTTTTACATTACATTTTTTTTTCATCTTGAAAACATGACGTATGTGATTTTTTTTAAAATAAAATCTCCAAACATCGTCACTCGCGTGATTGCTTGCTTGCGTTTACTATCCTATTGATGAAAAATCCCACCACGGTCGCGGGGTCACCGTGACTTCAGCAGGCCTATAGTACACGTCATAGAATGAACACGTGTACACGAGATGGTCGGCGTCTTCACTTCTCTCCCCCCCCCCCCCCCCCCCTTCTTCAAGCAAATTGAAAAACAGACCTACTTTCCTACTTCTGATCATTTTTTTAAAAGTTCGGTAATTATTTTTTTTTTTTAAAGTTCTCATATCAGGCATGCTAGATTATTTTTTTAACTAGATCTACATCTAGCTTAAAAAAAATAAAATAAATAAACGCTTAAAATGCCCGTAAACAGATTATTTAGCGCCAAAAAAAAAAGGCCGCTGAACGAGCATTTTTTAAAATACGCAGCAATGAAAATTGAAAAAGGCTAACGGCCGATCAATAAGTCTAAAAATCGCCCGTAATTAGGCCTAGCTCTGAAAAAGGCCACTGAACGAGCTTCACTAATTATATAAACGAATAGGCCACGCAGCGCTGACGAGGTTAACCACCGGTCACGAATGCAGCAACTGTCGGCCCACAGTGAAGAAAAAATCAATATACTAATAAAATTACTAATACAATAATAATGTCCATAATTTTACTTTTTCCGCACATGCTACAATTGAATTATAATTAAAATACTAGACTCAACAGTTCATTCCGCAAAAAACTAGATCTAGTTGTTTCTGTCTGGCAACTAGCGTAACAATGATGCAACGTTACTAAAAATAGCAGAGAGAAATTGTCGCATGGTTACTTACGGGGTAATTGGATTTTTGGTAAAAATCATCCATAATACTGTAAATATACATGGTAAATATCTCAATTATATATTAATCTACTGTTATACGGGCCGTTTTCCCCGTTATACGGTCGTTTTTGGCCGCGGTTCAGTTTATACGGAGAGTGCTCCACTAGAAATCCTCTCATTATTTACTACTACAATTCTAGCGATTTTTTCTGGCATTCTAAGGCATATTATCCATTTTATTAGCATCTTGTGTTAAAATAATGATAAGAATTTGCGAGATTAACAGTTTTTTCATATGTCGTGGATTGGACCCTAAAATAAACGTAAAAACCGTCAGAAAACGACGCGTGACGTTTCAGGGTCAGAGGTCAATCCAGCCATCTAAGCAATGAGGCGGCCTAATTGGTAATCTATCGTTTTAGGTACGTAAAATCGGCCGCGACTAGTAATGTGAAAAACAGGTGACTCCTTACATTTTAATAATTATTTCACATTTTGAGGAGGATTTATGTTTTGAAAAATACAAAAATGTTTCCTTGTTTCATTTATGTACCTGTTTTTAAACATTTGAATTAAAACTTTTCAGTAATAAATGAACACCAGCGATGTTTCCAACAGATGCAACCACGCTCATTTACTATAGCAGCCATCTTGTTAAAATTTTATTTTTATAATATTTATAGACATATAGATCTAGATCTAGCGCGAGATTCAGGCGGAAGTCACTCTATTTTACAAATGGCTGCTGTTTATATAGCAAATCTTGCTTGCAGACACAGCTGTTTAAAGTTAATTTCTGGCCTATATTGATATATTTAGCCATTGATTTAGGTTTATTATTCATTTATCTATAATATTTGACACAAACATATCACAATATACTTCTATTACAGCCTTGACAATGAGGTAACGTTTTCGTACATTAATAGCCGCGGGCGATTTTACGTACCCAAAACGATAGATTACCCAGCTATTCTCCGGTTCTGAGTTCAAGTGATTCATTCTCATTTCTCAATGAGTCAATCACTCACTTTATCTCAGACCATCAGTTAATATTTCTTTATTTTTTTAAATGAATAAAGTAAAAAGTTACTAAAAAGTCATATATATAATATTAGGCCGATTCTAGTCGGAATAAGATACGCATGCAATACGCATGCGCAATGGAGAGAAACTATGACTTGCCTTAGCGGCGATGTTTTCAATGGTACTGCGCATGCGTGTGTTTACAACCGCAGAACCCTAATACCAACCCTAATCCTATCCTTAACCCTATCCCTAATCCTATCCCTAACCCTAGCCCTAATCCTAACCCTAACCCTAGCCCTAATCCTATCCCTAACCCTAGCCCTAATCCTATCCCTATCCCTAATCCTACCCCTAACCCTCATTCTAGCCCTAACCCTAGCCATAGGTCACTGCGCATGCGCAGAACTATCTTTTGCCGAAAAATCTTATTCCGAGTAGACACTTCGATAATATTATATATATAGCCTACTAAGTATGGTAAAACTGAAATTCTTTAGATTTTAGATTAGGGCCTAATCATTAACCAAATAAATTAGACAGATGCTAGCCGGAATAAGATATGCATGCGTAATGGAGAGAAACTACGACTTGCCTTCGCGGCGATGTTTTTAATGGTACTGTGCATGTGTGTGTTTACAACCGCAGAACCCTAACACCATCCTTAACCCTATCCCTAATCCTAACCCTATCCCTAATCCTAACCCTAGCCCTATCCCTAAACCTACCCCTAACCCTCATTCTAGCCCTAACCCTAGCCATAGGTCACTGTGCATGCGCAGAGCTATCTTTTGCCGACTAAGTGGAGACGTTGAGGAGAAAAATCTTCTTCCGAGTAGTCACTTCGAATAAAATAAATAGTGTCCAATAGGCCTAGAGACTGCCCTAGCTAGACCCTAGCCTAGACTAGACCCTGCCCTAACCATTTTAAAATTTTGGGAGAATAGGGCCTATTTACACTGGTGTCCGATAATCGAATCTTCTTTTAAAAAGGGGTGTTAGGTTACTGGTAGTTAGCTAAATACACACATTGCTGGCTAATGAGCTAATGTCAATGCTAACCCTAACCCCAACCCTCCTGGTCCTACCGGGATACGCCTAACCCTAATTTAGTCATTTCTAACCATAAAATTAGTCGAGATTACAATACTACTAACAAGGCAACCTATTTTAAGTTAAGGAAGAGTCTATTATCTGACACCCGTATCTATAATCATCCAAAAATTTTAAATATCAACTTTATTGACAGATTAGGGCATCATTAGGGCCTAGATCTAGGAGTGTAGTCAAGTGTAGTGGAGAGGCCTAATTCAGTAATTGACTTCAAAAAGTAAAAAAAAGTTTTTTTGTAGCTAGCTTCTCTAGTAGCTATCAACAGCCAATAGTTACAAAGTATTAGCTTGTTTTGCTAGTAGTTAGTAGGCTTAGTTGATAACTTGATGATCATTGAAAATAGGCCTAATAATACTTTTTTGAGATCTAGTTCTTGTTTGTATCAAGATTGGTATTCATGGTTTTCCTATGCTACATAAATCAATGCAACTGTCTAGCCTACTCTTTTTTTGTTTGTGGTAAACTTTTTATATATATTCTAGATCTTCTTTAAAAGTTGGTGTTCATATTTTATATTTTTAGAATATTAATCTACTATGATGGAATTGAGATGACATTTGAGGGGCCACCTTCAATTGTGCATATGAAAGGAAAAAAGAAGGGCAGGATTTATCTAACAACACACAGAGTAATTATATTTTTACTTCTATGTTTTAAACTGTTTTATTTTATGGATTAAAATATTTAGGGGGAACATCTTTTGAACCTGTATATTTTGTAATCATTGTGCTTACAAAACATTTTTCAAATTGGTGACTGCTGAGCTCAGGATGGTTGCATGAGAAGAGGCCTGGGTCAGTCTCATGCAGTAGTTGGCTCCTGTTACTTATGAACTCCATTCCAAACACAAGATCTCTCTATTACAAACTCAACTCACCTTATCTGTGGGATGGCATGATCAGATTTTAAAGCGCAACTGTGTTAACCCGAAATCTCATTTGAATACCAGCTTCAGGCTTTAGGTCCTCCCTGAGTTCATCCAGCTCTGGTGGGTACCTGACATGTTAGGGAAAGTAAAGGTGGCTTGGCATAGTGCCGACCAGACTTATTGAATATGTTTAAGTCATAGAAACATGTGAATACTTCATCTACCCCATGGACCATTGAAAACTTTATGTGTAGCGTAAAACATGATATTGCTGATGCTTAATTATAATATCTTAAGTTTTGTAAACTTTTTATTTAACAGGTTATTTTTAACAGCCAAGACCACAAAGACCAAATGCAGTCATTTTCTTTTCCATTTTTACTGATGAGAGAAGTGGAACTTGAGCAGCCAATCTTCGGAGCAAATTATATTAAAGGCCGAATTTTAGCAGAACAATTTGGTAATAGCAGTAAATTTTTTGCCCATAATAAGAATTATTTGTCAATAAACAAACACAAATAATCATTTAAATTTTTTTTTTTTTTGTGTGTGTAGGAAATTGGGAAGGTGAAGCCAAGTTTAAAATGCACTTTACTCATGGTGGAGCCATTGAATTTGGAAAAGCCATGCTTCATGCTGCTTCTCTTGGTATGTTGTCCATTTTAAACAATTAAAAATTAAATCCTGTAGGTTTAATTAAAATTAAATTTACTGTTGATAATGATATAAAAGTGTCAGTTTTGTTTGTACTGTATTCTTACAGCCTCACGCAACAGACCCCCAAATCCTCCACCTTATTATGCCCCACCTGGCGCTGACTACTATGCTGCCCCACCCCCAGCATACGAGCCTCCCAGAAACTCCTATTACTCATGGGTTCCCTATGACACATTTCCAACAGCACCTCCAGGTTGGTAGTTTTAAATTTTAGTTTACCTGCTTATGTATTCTATAATTATATGTTGGCACATTTCAATATGTATGTCTCATCTCTCAAAGATTATTATAACAACAGGCACTGATTTATAACTTCGTTATTTTTAAACTCGTTTCTCAGCTCAAAGCATTTACATGAGTCAAGCACCTCCTCCCTATCCTGGAGTGGACCCCAGCATGATGTACCCCACCCCCACAGCACCAATGGCTAATGGACATGGTAAGTAAACACAATGCATCAGTTCATCAATTGTCATTTCTAAAGGTTAGTTGCACATTTAGGTTTCTGGCTTGGGTTGTGGAGATATGTCTGTTAACTCATTAGCTACTAAAGCCTATCTCAAAACCCTTCCCTAATCCCTAAGTTAAGGGAGGTAACCTTCAACAACTTTTCTTTGGAATGTTTTAAAAATAAGGCTATTGTTTATTTAATTATTATAAAGGCACAAAATTTGATTATTAAATAAACTAATGTTTTATCTCATTAAATAAATATATTATCTCAAAGAAAATATATAACTTAATCTATTTTTTTTTAAAAAGAAATTCATTTAAAGTGAATTAAGTGATCCAACTTTGTGGTAGGGGCTGCCACGGAGTGCCTCAGTATCATCTCTGATATTTACAAAATTATAATTCTACAATAGATTCTGGTTGCCAATTTTAATAGCTTAAATATCTAACATAATATAGAATCTATTCAAATAACTGATTATTTAAAACAAATGGAAAAATAGGATAATTCCGAAGCGACAGTTTATGCGTAAACAAGTGTGAAAAATTTGTCTGGGTAAAAAATTCATGTGTATTCTTGCGCTATCTTAGTAAGTGTAATTAGTGTAGAAGTGCTTTTTTGCATGAAAATAATGCGACAGAAAACACTATAGGTAAAATGAAGTAATTACAGTCGCATTAGTAGCAAATGAGTTAAATTGTGCTCATCTACTTTAATCAGTTGATACATGTTCAAACTTCATTAGTTGTATTTTATTTTCCCCCATAAAATGCTGTTTTGATGGATATAACAATTTGTTATAACTTGTTTCATATACGCACTGTTAAAATAATGATAATAATGATCTGTCCTGTAGATGCCAAAGCCCAGGAGGCAGCAGCTAGCGCTTACTATGACCCATCCAACCAGCACAACTTTTACGCACCAGCAGCCAATGGCATGGCCCCGCCAGCATACCATGGACCACCTCCAGCTTACAGTGAATATGAGAAGAAATCTAACTAGTCAGTCTGCACCAACAGATCAGTGATACTTTTCTATTGAGATGTTTGTTCTGTTCCTACACATAAATTCATGATGTTTTTTTCGTGCTTTTTAAAATATATACCTTCTCTGTTGATGATTTGTGATTAGGTTATGAATTGTAGTCTATATTTCTGTACAGCAACCTCCCAACAGTTATATTTAAGTGTTTGGTTTTGGTGGAAGGTCTGTGATCTAAACGTACGAGTATGATATGTAAAACTTACTTTTGGGTAATCATTTTTCAGATGTTTATTTACCATAATTTTTTTTTCTTTGCTTAAGATTTTTACCTTTATTGTCTATGTTCAATACTGTTGTAAAAAATAAAATAGTCAATGAAATAATGTAATTTCAATTACTCAGTAGCATCTTGACTCCTAATTTTTATTTAAATAATACTCTCTACTAACATTGGCTTATTAAGAATTATTTTTTTAAATTTTGGAAACTATAAACTACATGAAGATGTACATTCCTTAAAAATTCTAGAAAGAGTAGAATTTTATATTACGATAAGCTGTAGTTAAGTTTTATAGGTATTATGTTGATTCAATTGAGCTTTAAGTTTTATGATGTTCACATTAAATGTTTAATGAACTGGGTTGTAGTTATAAGAACACTGCACACATTTTTAATACTAGTGTCAAATATTCTTTTAAACATTTTAATCCACCTGCAAAAATGTCAAATTTGAAAAATAGTTGTAAATGAAAAATAACTTGAAGTAACTATTATTGTACTATTGAAAGAATCTGTATGACGGCATACGCCAAACAAAAATACATATTTCTGGGAAATAAGAAAAATGCTAACTTGGTTATGAATTTTGGCAGTTTGAATAACTTAATTAGCTTCTAACATTAATTAACAGCTCCTATTGGATTTAGTATGCATAAATAGAGGCAAATTTTAAAAAAAAAATTATATTAAATATGGGTTTAAAAAAAAAAATTAATATCACATAAAATAGTACATTTTAAAGATGTTTTAGTTATGTAGCATTGATCCCTGCAAATATAACCATTTCTCTCATTGCTTTTTGACCAGTTAGTTTTTTTTTTCTTTTTAACACAGCTCAGTGACATGAACTAGATGTAGTTGTATTGCTAGCAAGATGTGCTAAGTGTTGTAAATACACATCAAACTTCTATAACTCCGGTGTTGTTTTTAATCAGATGTGTATCAAAATTATGTGTAAATAAAAATAAGTATTTTGATTCCTATGTAAATATTTCATTTATTTTTTTCACAACGTACATGTTTTTAATTATATTTTTCTGTATTCAAGTTGGTTAATAAGTTTATTTATAAAGAGATAGAAGCATCCATTGGTAACCTGGAAACAGAAATAACTGTAAATCTTTCCTGAATTTTCACACAAAATTGTGTGAATTATATGGGTTTGTGTGAATTATATGGGTTTTGGTATCCTTATATCCCTCATCACATTCACTTCCTCTGTAAACTAATTCAAATTAGTAAATTAGTAAAAGCAATTATTGTTCCTCCCCTTACATTGTCTAGGTCTTATTGTGGAATTTTTCTCATGGAATAAAATAGAAATTATATGTGTTTGTTGTAACAATAACAGACAGCATTTAATTGTTAATTTTTTTTATATCCCCATTACATGAAGGCTGTCATGACAGCATTTTGTGTCAACATTTTCTGTGCTAACGTTAAGGTTTGTCTAACATTAAGGTTTGTGGGTTAACATGCACTGTCAACAAAATTTTTGACAAAAACTTAGTGTCAACTAAATGTTTGACATGTGTGTTGATAATGTTGATAAAAGTTTAGGGCAGATTTACATTGGTGTAGACTGTAGGCCTTGCTTTATGTATGAACCAACACAATAAAATACTTTTAAGCTACTACTCTTTGTTTCCTTCAATTATGTTAAGTAATGTGTACATCTATGTGACAGCTTGATGAAGAGATGGAATACTTCATAATTCATTTTTTTATACTCTATTCTATACCCTATCTATATATTGATATGTCTTTATTATGTACATAATTATGACTAATAAAAAGGAAAAAATAAATGCACATGTTGCAACATTAAAAAGCTAAAGAAATGCACATGTTGCAACATACACACTACACTTGATGAATACACAGGCAACATCTTCAGTTCAACAGTGGCGTAGCTAGGGGAGGTGGGTGGGGCGGCCGCCCCGGGCGCCGACCCTAAGGGGGCGCCAAAAGGGATAGAAAAAAAACACCTCAAGTTGGGGTATTAAATAATACACAAAATTAAGAAAGTAAAAGGCTACATGGTTTTACACACTGATTTAAATGTGTTCTACATCAATCGTGTGCCACAACAATAAAAAAAAAACCTTTGCGGGATGGATAGTGAATGGTAAAAAGCGCCACCGACCTTCCCAACTAGGAAGGGTGTGGGCGCTTTTCACCAACTTGAATAACTATATGTATAAATAGGCAGGAGGAGGGAGGAAAATTGATAGTTCGCCCCGGGCGCCGTAACGGGTCGCTACGCCTTGCAGTTCAGCCAGCTTCTACTGTGTTGGACATGTGTCGTGCCATCTCAGGTAGCGCGTGGTAGGTCTAGAATAGTCTAGATCAAAGTGAGTACCAGGCTTGGTCATTGGCAGACAATACTTTTGTTTGTTTATAAAGTTAGTTACAAAAGTTACAGTAAAGTTATAGGACATATTATGTGTCCGTGTTATGACAGAGGTGCGCGGAGTAGGCTGCGCAAATGACAAGTAAACAGAATGGTATAGTAGCCGAGATATTTAGGCTAGCTTTAAGTGTGATCGATTTGTTTTTAATAAGTGTGCAGTGTGCACTCATGCTCACATCGGTCACGTGCTGTAATACTTAAGTTAGAGGATGGTATTCTTCTTACTAGATAACACGTTTAAATCACGTTTATTCTTTTGTTGTGGATAGGGATTCACCCTTCAATCCACAAGTATCATATTTCTTTAATCCAAACCAAATGGGTCCATTTTCTCGTGTTTGGACTGTGGTTTTATCTACCCTTAACCTCCCCCCCCCCCACCTCCTACACGCTCACACACACAGCTGTCGCATTATCGATGTGCGATTGCGGAATTTTTTTTTTCATAATCTCATTATGAGTTGGCTCACTCTAGAAGATATGGTGACGGAGACCCACAACAGACGTAAGTTCTAAACATTCTTGTGTTGTAGACATTCATGTAAGGACACTAGCCATAACGTGACTTGTTTTGCGTCAATTTTACGTGACCCCCCATTTCCAATTTCTTAACGTCTGTTTAAAAATTTCATGTCACTTTTTTTTTGTTCGTGAATAACTATTTCAAACCTTGTAACACATGTTTTTAAGCTGTGACTATCGAACACATGTAAACGATCTACAAGTTTTACGCAATGGAAAGAATTTAGAAGTAAATTGTAATATCTCATAATTTTGATTATAACCTGCACACTATTTCTGTAATGCTGAAATTATGGAGTCACTTGGTTTCGCTTGATTTGTTTTCTTTCTGTGCTTGACCCCAGACAATGGCGAGTGTGCTATAGGGCAGGTGAGAACACAACACATCAACACAGTGATCGGGTCTACGCTATGGACATAAGCGAGTAAGTGGGTACATATGTAGGCAGAGTTTCTTCCTGGCATCCCCCCCCCCCCCGAAGAAAGTCTACCGCCCCCGAATTAAATGGAATTTAGATAGAAATAGATTTTTATAAGTGTCCGCCCCCCCCGGAAATTTTATTCCGATCCCCGAAAATTTCAAGTGCCCCCTCTCCTCCCACCCCCCGGAGAAAAAAAGGATGGAAGAAACACTGTATGTAGGCCTTCTCGTCTACTGATGTTGAGACGGTTTGCTGATTTAAAAGCTGGGTTTAAAAAAAGTTTACTTCAAATGTTGTTTTATCCAGTTTGGTAAAATGATATAGAAATTCGCTGTCCATAAAATACGCCATTTACGATAGTGACGTCATTTATGGACGACCCCAAATGCACTAAAACAGTTCAAGATGTAGGCAGTTGTCTCTCTTTCTAGTATCGCAGTGTAATTATACGCATGTACTGTAACATGAAATAATGAGGAAATGAATGGAAAAAATACACGTACACGTAGTCTGTTGTTGTTGTTTTTTGGACTGGAGCAGGGCATAATCCGACAATCCATTACGCCCTGTCCATAACACACTTTCCATTAACCCCCCCCCCCCCGTCCATAACATACAGTCCATTACGCCCTGTCCATAACACACTTTCCATTAACACCCCCCCCCGTCCATAACACACTATACCCCCTGTCCATAACGCCGTTCATTAACCCCTGCATTTTACCCCCTCCCAAAAACAACAGAGTAGGGCATTACTGCCGAATACAAACAAACCTTGAACGTTTTTCGAACTTGAAACCTAATCTAAACAGTAAGTCAGAGGCGGATTGAGCTAGGGTTGGGTCCCTGTTTGAATATTTCAGGGTCCCTGCGACTATAAGTCACTAGAATCAGTGTAGCAGCTAGCCAATATTTGGGACGTCATTGATTGTCTTGTGTATTTATTACGACGTAATTGTATGGGGTGTGCGATTAACTTCTGACACGACACATCGTTTTTTAATAATTATGCTGATAATGAATTAGTATCTGGGGTGTTTTTAAAATATAGCATCAGTTGTCTCGTTTCCTTCCGTTGGGACCATCAAACTTTCCTTCAGCTTTCATTTCGCGACCGTTAGATGAAAAAATAGAATATCGTTTCTTATTAAAATTTTAATTTCATAAGCGCACGTCAATGGAAAAGCTCACTTATATATCTTACACATACTACGTTACTAAATCTGTAAGTAAAAATGTAATTACTGTGGTAACATGAAATCTCTTCATTCTGAACTGAAATCTGAAGCTACATTTGATATCGACCCGACTAGATGAAATAGAATTGATCTATTGATTAGTGTGCGGACTGTGTAGTTGTGGTGTTAACCGCCTGCGTTATTAAATATGCGAGTCAGGTGACCGCAAGAGATGAATGATGGACGTCCTACTTACTCGAGACATTATAAAAACTATTTTCGTGTTAGCAATCGCATGTTGCACAATATTTCACGCGAGGAACTATAATGTTACAGTTTAAAACAATAGCATACTGATTGTGTATGTGCGCGCACTCTCGTGTTTGCTGGAGAATCATTGCCATTCTAAATTAGATCGTTCGATCACCACACAAAAAGTAGGCCTACAAAAGAAAACATGGATTTCAACTACAATATTCTCACAAGTAATGAATCGATACATTTCTTATTTTTAAAGCAATAAAGACGTAACTTTATCTGTGTTATCATGTTAAAAAACATACTGAGCATATCGATTAGCACATTTTTATAAGTGATTTCTGTTGAATTAGTAATCTACATGGTTAATTAATTTAAGATGACTCTTGTATCTTTATGAAATGAAGGGAGACGTCTCACAAGCAGAGTTTCTTCCATTCATCTCTTCGGGGGTGGGGGGGGGGGGGGGGGAGGGGGGGGGGTCTGCCCCCCCCCCTCAAAGAAAGTCTACCGCTCCCCCCCCCCCCGACAAATGTTGACCCCCCCCCCCCGAAAATGTCAAAAGCCCCCCCCCCCCCCTCCCGGAGAAAAAAGTCTGGAAGAAACACTGCTCGCAAAACATCAAGTTAGACTCTCTTATAAAAAGGGATAATAAACTTACAAGTCTGTGATGACAACAAAGTCTACAAAATAATAGAAGATATTCAATATTTGTTCAATAAAGTAAAACATAAAATTATAGTGGTCGCCGAATTTTATCGTCCAGCCTCTGAAACTTGCATGGGATACACTGTATCGCTCCAATCGTGTCCTTCCCTCTTCATAACCTCCAGGTTCTAGTGCCCTAATAGGAGGGGATATGGATAAACTTAGTCCAAGCTTAATCCGCCTCAATTTGTTATATTTATAAATGCACACTGTTGAGACTTGTAATCTTTGTCTTCAAGTATTACAGTTGCTGGCTTTCAGTTCGGCCATCTGATCCTCGCCTTTCTGATCAGCGCCATATTTCTATTCATCCTTTACTGGCTGTGGACATGTCCATGCAGGTAAGTCAAGCTTTCTAACAGGTAGGGTCCAGGTTGCTAGCAGGTAGGTCCAGTTTGCTAGCAGGTAAGTCCAGGTTGCTAGCAGGTAGGTCCAGGTTGCTAGCAGGTAGGTTTAGTTTGCTAGCAGGTAAGTCGAGCTTTCTAACAGGTAGGTCCAGTTTGCTAGCAGGTAGGTCCAGGTTGCTAGCAGGTAGGTCCAGGTTGCTAGCAGGTAGGTCCAGGTTGCTAGCAGGTAGGTCCAGGTTGCTAGCAGGTAGGTCCAGGTTGCTAGCAGGTAGGTCCATGTTGCTAGCAGGTAGGTCCAGGTTGCTAGCAGGTAGGTTTAGTTTGCTAGCAGGTAAGTCCAGTTTGCTAGCAGGTAAGTCCAGTTTGCTAGCAGGTAAGTCCAGTTTGCTAGCAGGTAAGTCCAGTTTGCTAGCAGGTAAGTCCAGTTTGCAAGCAGGTGAGTCCAGTTTGCTAGCAGTTACGTCTAGATTTAGGACAGGATAGTCCAGTTTTAGGTCGTCGGTACAAAAAAAAAAACCTCAATTAATGTAACAAATCACTAGCGATAGCTGACAAATAATTCGGTGTTTCTGACAGTGACTAAAGATTTTGTTTAAAACGTGAGTTGACTAAAATGAACTGAAATATGTGATTGTTCTTGTATTCCAGGGAGGAAGAAGAGCCAAAGAGCCACAGGACCATCCTGCCAGCACAGGCTGTCAAGCCTCTGTACGCCCTGGAGCTGGAGCCAGGCATTGTTGTCTTACAGAGTGAGGATGGTGAGTTCTTCAGGTGAGTTTGTCTTATAGAGGACGGTCAGGTGAGTTTGTCTTATAGAGGACGGTCAGGTGAGTTTGTCTTATAGAGGACGGTCAGGTGAGTTTGTCTTATAGAGGACGGTCAGGTGAGTTTGTCTTATAGAGGACGGTCAGGTGAGTTTGTCTTATAGAGGACGGTCAGGTGAGTTTGTTTTATAGAGGACGGTCAGGTGAGTTTGTCTCATAGTGGACTGTCAGGTGAGTTTGTCTTATAGAGGACGGTCAGGTGAGTTTGTCTTATAGAGGACGGTCAGGTGAGTTTGTCTTATAGAGGACGGTCAGGTGAGTTTGTCTTATAGAGGACGGTCAGGTGAGTTTGTCTGATAGACGGTCAGGTGAGTTTGTTTTATAGAGGACGGTCAGGTAAGTTTGTCTTATAGAGGACGGTCAGGTGAGTTTGTCTTATAGAGGACGGTCAGGTGAGTTTGTCTTATAGAGGACGGTCAGGTGAGTTTGTCTTATAGAGGACGGTCAGGTGAGTTTGTCTTATAGAGGACGGTCAGGTGAGTTTGTCTTATAGAGGACGGTCAGGTGAGTTTGTCTTATAGAGGACGGTCAGGTGAGTTTGTCTTATAGAGGACGGTCAGGTGAGTTTGTCTTATAGAGGACGGTCAGGTGAGTTTGTCTTATAGAGGACGGTCAGGTGAGTTTGTCTTATAGAGGACTGTCAGGTGAGTTCTTCAGGTGAGTTTGTTTTATAGAGGACGGTCAGGTGAGTTTGTCTTATAGAGGACTGTCAGGTGAGTTTGTCTTATAGAGGACTGTCAGGTGAGTTCTTCAGGTGAGTTGGTCTTATAGAGGACGGTGATTTAAAAGTCAGCTGTAGATGACTTGTGTCTTATGGTCAGCTATAGGCATCATGTTTCTAAAGGTCAATAGTAGAAGCTGTGTGTTTTAAAGTCATCTTTAGAAATTGTATCTTAATGGAACCTTAGATTACGAGTCTTACGATTTAGTATTGATACGAACTTCAGTAATATAAGCACGTGTCGTGAGATTATCGGTATGAAAAGTTCGACTTAAATTCAATGATTAATTCATACGGATAAATACAATGCCTGCCATCCATTTCGCTGCTAACTGTAATAAAGTCATTGAACCACTTTACTTGACTAAAAAGTTTACCTTGTTTTCAAAGATTTATTAGCACCATAGTTGCTCAACAAAAGTTGCTTCTATGTCACAATTTACACACCTTTTTTCCGTTACCAAAGTCACCATTTACACACCTTTTTTCCGTTACTCATGTCACCATTTACACACCTTTTTTCCGTTACCCATGTCACCATTTACACACCTTTTTTCCGTTACCCATGTCACCATTTACACACCTTTTTTCCGTTACCCATGTCACCATTTACACACCTTTTTCCGTTACCCATGTCACCATTTACACACCTTTTTCCGTTACCCATGTCACCATTTACACACCTTTTTTTTCCGTAACCCACCAACACAACAGGATACTCAGGGAGTACGACTCGGCCGACAGAACCGGAAACGGATGCAAGGCTCCGGAACTTCCTAGCTGCTCCTCGGAAAACCGATACATCCCATCCTACACGCATGCGCATTACCAGACCCAGCCGAGTGGGGTCCCTGCCTACACGCCCTACCAGGCACAACCCAGCGCCCCCCTGCTCTCTGACCATGACCCTGGTCACCAAGGTCCGTTCAAAGATGGCGCAGGTTGGGCTCCTATTCGGATCTCCACTCCACGCTACTGATGGATGAACTGGTGGTTTGATTTGATTTTTATTTTATTTTGACTTTACATGGGGAAAATTTTTACACATTTTATTTTGTTTTGACATGTTTTAAAAACTTTATATGGGGAAAATTTCTACACATTTTATTTTGTTTTGACATGTTTTAAAAACTTTATATGGGGAAAACTTTCACACATTTTATTTTTCATATCATTGGTATATAGATGTACTCGACTTGATATTTAAGGGTTTTAAAATAAGCTATTATTTTATAGATTTATTTAATACTTTAGCGGTTAAAAATAAACTTCTGTTTTATAGCGCTATTTAATATTTAGTGGTTTCACAAAAAAACTTTGTTATACGGTTGATATAAGGTTTAATAATAAATTATTTGACACTAAGTATTGTATGTTTGAAAAGTTTATTTTCCTCTGTATTTTCAACTATTTGTTTTGTTTAAACATAAATCAACAAGATGGCTGCTGAATCGTAGCAGGAGACACATCGCAAACCTAAGATGTTACTCTCTACCCTAAGGGGGGACGCTACATTTTCATGAAACCGATTTTTAAAAAATTGAAACGTGTGATATAATATTAGGCCTATATTATAATAAATATGGAAACGTGTGTTTTGTAGCAGCTGATATTTTGTTTAAAATGTGTGGTGTGATAACATGGGTGTTAACACGATGTTCACTGTTGGATTATCTCCCTTGACACACTTTTATAAAACTGCAGGGCCTTTCATCGGCTTATTGGGAACACAACCACTGTGTTAGTTTTATTTTGAATGTATAACGGGTTTTGCTTGATAACCATGGAAATCAAACAGCAGAAGCAAATGTGAAGCTCGCTATCCTATGCTGGGTATCCAATAGAGCTGTCTTTCTCCAGAAATGATCTGAGCTAGTCTTTTTTTTTTTTTACACTGAAATGGCTTTTAAATTAAATGTGAATTAATGATCTAAAAATCAGGAATAGTGCGAAACAATTTTTTTGGACCATCTTTTTCTACGCCTAGAGTGCACAAAAACATACCCTGTGTTTTATAGAGCAATTGACTTTTGGTTCATTTGGACACTAGAGATGAAAATATGGTACACTTCTGGATTATCTGTTAAACATTGTGTCGTTGTTTTTTGTTTTAGTGTTGTTCTTTAGTGCAGTAGTGCTATGTTGTGTTGTAGTGTTTTTGTGTTATAGTGTTGTTCTTTAGTGCAGTAGTGTTGTGGTGTAGTGTTGTGGTGTAGTGTTGTGGTGTAGTGTTGTGGTGTAGTGTTGTGGTGTAGTGTTGTGGTGTAGTGTTGTGGTGTAGTGTTGTGGTGTAGTGTTGTGGTGTAGTGTTGTGGTGTAGTGTTGTGGTGTAGTGTTGTGGTGTAGTGTTGTGGTGTAGTGTTGTGGTGTAGTGTTGTGGTGTAGTGTTGTGGTGTAGTGTTGTGGTGTAGTGTTGTTGTATATTGTTTTGTTGTTATATTTTGTTGTGTTGTGTTGCCGTGTTGCTTTGTTTTGTTATTGTGTTGTTTGACGCCCGCCCTACACTTTAGAAACAGGAAAGACGTCATGCATTTGTTTAGCGTATATCCTTGGTATACCGGATTGTGAAGCGTACGGCGACTTTCCGACCCCACCCATGACCGCAGGGGTCGGGGTTTTAATACAGTTGCCAGCGACCCCATCAGTGTACTTTAAAGTGGGTACAAACTGGCCTGCTGTGTGTGCACTCACGGCATAGGGTGATACAGGTATACGGGGACTGGTGAGCTGTTTGGGTGAGATTTTCACACTAGTTGCATGCGGTACGGCTGGTGACGATGTGACGCAGGGTTTGCTTGTGTCATCTTGTATTAGGTTGGCTTCAGACGGGGTTACCCTGGGTATTGGAATACATAGATCTAGATGTATTATGTATGTATATACTATAATATACAGCATATAGGGGGGCCCTATATATATATATATATATATATATATATATATATATATATATATATAACTATATATATATATATATATATATATATATATATATATATATGTATCTATATTTATAAATGATCTGCTCTGTAAAGGTATAAAATTTAACATTAAAACTATTGACGGAAACTGTTATGCCATGCCCCATATGACCAACCGTATGTTCTTGAGCCGTGACTTGAAGTACCATACTGATAGAGAAATCCCCATAATCAGGAGGACACCCATAGCACATCCAACGATCGTCCAGATTACATCCTTGTTCTCTGACTCCGATTGCTGGAGATTATAAGGCAGCACAATTTTCAATTCATATCAGCGTCAAATACAGTGTATCTAGGCCTATACAGTAATACAGTTTGTCGCGTTGCCTATGTTGGAAGAGGGGGGGGGGGTGGAGGGGGTAGAAGATCACAAAAAAAAATTAACACTAACACAACAGGCAAAAATTTTAGAACCACCACCCTATCCCCAACATACATGCAGTACTTGGGGGGGGGGGGGTAATTAAGTCACATAACTAGGATATGGTAAGATACATTTTGGTGAGCTTTGCCTTTGATACATCTTTATATCAAACATATTGTGCTGATATACTTAACTCGTTAGCTTTTTTTAAATAACAAAAGAACAACAAAACCATCGCAATAGTAGGCCTACTTGACGAATGGTCAATTTACTTTTTTTTTTAAATTGAAAAGAAAATTATCTTTTAACGAGGTTAATTTGTGGCTTTGTTTATTGCCAGTCAGATAAACTTACTTGAGAGCTTGGGGGTTGAGTAGTTTGGAGGCGAGTGTGAGTTTGTGGGTTTGATAACTCTGTATTTGTTGGGTGAGTTTGTGCGGTTGTCGAACTTGAGCTTCTGATGACTGTACTTAATGCTGTGATCGTGGAGAGTGGTAGCTGTGTTGAACTTGCTATTGGCCTTGATGTTAAAGTTGAAGCTGATCTGGCTGTTGATGTTGCGCTTGTTGAAATTGATGTTGATCTCGCTGTTGATGTTGCGCTTGTTAAAATTGATGCTGATCTCGCTGTTGATGTTGCGCTTGTTAAAATTGATGTTGATCTCGCTGTTGATGTTGCGCTTGTTAAAATTGATGTTGATTCTGGTGTTGTTGTTAGACTGAGCTCACAAAATTCACCTTTGGGTATATAATTTAAAATTAACAACAACAAATCTCTGTGAACACTGAGAAATCGAGTTCGACACGCTAAGTTTTATAAAACGACTAACATTTCGGAGTCGTTTAAAAAGTTGGTAAACAATCTCTGTATGAGCCGAGGAAGCGGGAGATAGCTTTTATGTTACCTGGAGTGAGTGTAATGAAGGAGTAAAACACTTTGTAAGTAACGTGTGATGAGAAATATAATTATCTAAGTGTTAAGATACAAATTTACAATATTACCTGTTACAGGTATTGCTGGACACAATTACCTGTCACAGGTATATATAGATATATACCTGTGACAGGTATGTGAAGACAGTTACTTGTGACATGTATATCCAGACACAGTTACCTGTGACAGGTATATCTAGACAGTTACCTGTGACAGGTATGTGTAGACACATTTACCTGTGACAGGTATATCTAGACAGTTACCTGTGACAGGTATATCTAGACACATTTACCTGTGACAGGTATATTTAGACACAGTTACCTGTAACAGGTATATCTAGACATAGTTACCTGTGACAGGTATATCTAGACATAGTTACCTGTGACAGGTATATCTAGACATAGTTACCTGTGACAGGTATATCTAAATACAGTTACCTGTGACAGGTATATCTAGATACAGTTACCTGTGACAGGTATATCTAGACACATTTACCTGTGAAATCTGCCGGACACAGACAGGTGTAGTTGTTGAGGTTGTTGTTACAGGTGGCGCCGTTGATGCAGGCATGACCAGGGCAGTGGTCAGTCTGTACATCACACCCCTTACCCTCCCACCCTGAAACAAGGTAACACGACAAGCAGGTCAAACAGTTCGCTGATCTCAGGAATAAAAGACATTTTAACAGAGACTATCACAGGTTGAAGAGTTAAGAAAAGAAACATCACAGTATACTTATTTGAATGTTTTATAAAAAAAGTTTTTCAGCGAAAAAGTACAGTATCGCAGTCGGCTCAAAGGCCTAGCTTCTGCATATTGGCCACACAAGACAGAACCCGGGGAGTACCCTCTCATATCCGTGTCTCATAGAACATCAATAGGTACAGCGTCCTGCTCTCAGAAAACACAGCTTGCTCTAAGCCAACCAGACAAGTCGCATTGACTGTCAAAATGACTGTCTCTGTAGCTGTCATATTGACAGTCTTATCGACTGTCTTATCGACTGCCTCGGTGACTATTATCACTTTCTAAATGACTATCTTATCGACTGTGTAATCGAGTGTCTTAGTGAATTTAAAATGAAAATCTATACTTTATTCTCAAGCACTTTGTCATGTAAACACCAAACGTATAATAACCTGTGGAGCAGGTCTTGGTGCCGTTAGGTAAACAAGTGTATTGGCTGGTTGACGTGCAGCATTCTGAGCAGGACGGACCGAAGTAGTACTTCTCACACTGGGATACTACCTGCAGTCCTAGTCTAGAGAAACAACAGCACTTTGTCTACATTAGAGGATCAACAGCATTTTGTCTACATTAGAGAAACAACAAACTGCGCTGTTGGTGTGTAGAACAGGAAGTCTAGTGAGTGAGTACATACTGTGCTGTTGGTTTGTAGAAGTCTAGTGAGTGAGTACATACTGAGCTGTTGGTGTGTAGAAGTCTAGTGAGTGAGTACATACTGAGCTGTTGGTGTGTAGAACAGGAAGTCTAGTGAGTGAGTACATACTGAGCTGTTGGTGTGTAGAACAGGAAGTCTAGTGAGTGAGTACATACTGAGCTGTTGGTGTGTGGAAGTTTAGTGAGTGAGTACATACTGTGCTGTTGGTGTGTAGAACAGGAAGTCTAGTGAGTGAGTACATACTGAGCTTTTGGTGTGTGGAAGTCTAGGGAGTGAGTACATACTGAGCTGTTGTTGTGTAGAACAGGAAGTCTAGTGAGTGAGTACATTGTGAGCTGTTGGTGTGTGGAAGTCTAGTGAGTGAGTACATACTGAGCTGTTGGTGTGTGGAAGTCTAGTGAGTGAGTACATACTGAGCTGTTGTTGTGTAGAACAGGAAGTCTAGTGAGTGAGTACATAGTGAGCTGTTGGTGTGTGGAAGTCTAGTGAGTGAGTACATACTGAGCTGTTGGTGTGTGGAAGTCTAGTGAGTGAGTACATACTGAGCTGTTGGTGTGTAGAACAGGAAGTCTAGTGAGTGAGTACATACTGAGCTGTTGGTGTGTAGAAGTCTAGTGAGTGAGTACATATTGAGCTGTTGGTGTGTAGAAGTCTAGTGAG